AAAAGGACCCGTTCCAATAGTACGGAGTCTCTAGACCGGACCAGACGCTTGCCAGTTTAAAATATTACTACGCTCGGCTGGGATCGCTACGGCGGGTTCCCACTCCAACAACCTCGACAGTGTGCAGAGCACTGGCACATATGCTGCTCCTAGCGCCTGCAGTCCGAGATCGACGGCTTGATCCTGCGATGCGTCCGAGCGTGCGTTGGGAATCTAGGCAAAGCGACAGGCAGTTCTTCAACTGGTTCGCGACGCCGCTTCAGCTTCTTGCATCCAGGCACCATGCCAACCTGTCAGATTTCGACTGCGCCGTCTCCGCGGCTTGCCGCTACTAGATTATCGAGTCCAGAGCAGACGCCAAGTTCTACCGGCGGCGACTGCTTCGAACGCCTCTGGAACCTATTGAAACGGCTTGGCAACCTCTGACGTGTCCCTGTCGTGTTAGTTGAGAAGATCTCAAACAAGTTGGTACTTGGGGTGCGATGTAGGAGCCATTGTATGTATTGTCGCTCCCACACTCCCGGCTCCCCCGCCCATTGCCATCCATCCCGCTTCCCGGCTGCTAGTTGTTACGCCACAGACGTTGGCCTGCTGAACCTGAGCTATCGTGGTGTGGCTCATGCTTCCGCGTTGATCTTGATGCACCTGTGAGTTCAGATGCCTACATCCCAGCAGGTGATGCCCAGATCGTGAGCCTGCTCTTCGACCCAACAAGTCCGAGTTGGGGTCTTGTCGGTCCTTTTCGTCACAACTTGCTTACGGGCTGTGCCAGATATTGGCAGGCCTTGGCTATTATTGAACCAGACTATCATTTTTGACAGGTGTTTTCTCTTTCCACCAATATTTTAATGATGCTTATATTAGTCCCCCAATATTGAGTGCTAGGACCGACGGGACTATGCTCGCTTTTTGTTGGTACGGACATTTCAAGGCGCAAAGTGGCGCCCCCAAATCTCAAACACAGTTCTCACCTTCCTGCTGGGACACATGCTGCAGTGAAAGCCACAAATTTGAACTCCTGGAACGTGATTGGCGCATGAAACTTGCAATATTAAAATAATATGTTGACCATGGTGTCGTATAATCATGGCGCTGCATGACAGGCCGCCCGGGTCGCATCCTCCGATAGGCACAATCTGACAATTTGACGCAACGACGAGGAACATTACCGACTAGTATGTACCCCAGATGAGCTTGCGAATTCGGCTCAAGGCGCGCAAAATGCAGGTCTTGCCACATTTCATCTCAAGCTCAACTCCAGCAGCAGGACATCAAGAAGTCTGGCCGCAGTGCTCGTTGCCAACCGCCAGATCCTGAAAAGCCGTCTGCTAATAACCTTTTGAAAGCAAAAACGGGACATGAGGAGAAAATGAGGTACCTAGTATCTGGCTTCGTCAATCAAGATCGCCGGGAACGCTTCGACTAATGTCTGCCGGCTAGCTATATACCGATTCTCCAAAACTCCAGCTCCTAGCTGAACTTGGGGGCATTAATATTCTAAAAAGGCAACTCAATATGTGAGTTACAGAATGGTAAGTTTGCGGGATTCTAAGCGCTCTCCAGCGTTGACACTCTGACACAGGATATCCAGCCTTCACACCTACCCTAAGACACGGGCGGTTTCTGCTGGCATACTTGCACTCGCCGACCTGGCTGCCATTCAAGAGCGCACTAAATTATCTGGCAGTTCTTTGGTCGATTTTCTAGTTCTTATGCTTGGAATTGACCTCCTGTGTGGTCGTGAGCAGGAACTAGTCGGGCAATATCGCCGTTTCCACGCCTACCCGCGCCGTCAATACATTTATTATCCGACAAGGGAGCCCGGTGAATTGATTCAGAACACAGAGGGCAATTGAGAAGGCCATCTGCTTATACCCCTAAGCCAAGGTCGTTGGATTGGGTCGAATGGATACGTCGGTCGTCTCTAGGCTGTAGTCTCTGGCTAATGGCCACGCTGGATAGTCACATCACTGCGAGGGCTGCTCTGCCGCTCACCTAACTGCTGCTAACTTCAAGAATTTGGAAAACTCCAGCAGTATACTCTTCTGTCTGGAACTGTTGGTTTTTTGGCATGCAGGGATACTTGTTGATGGTTGTTAGGGAACCAAAGGTATACCAGGTGGCTAGATCATAGTTATGAAAAGATACAGGAGCTGAAACTCGATGCCGGAGGGTGCGTTAGCTTAGGCTGTGAAAGGCCATTCGTCTACAGAAATAAGAAAAGCCTCTCGGAGCCATCACATTATGGATAAGTGGTACAATTTGTGCGAAAGCGCGTCTTTGGGTGGGCAAGGATTGACTATAGGTCCTAGTGTTGGAGGGCATTCAAGAGGTAAAGAATAGTTACGGTCCATCCGGGGACGAAGTTGTGAACGGCTGGATCAAAAAGTCAGCATTCATTAGGAACTATCTGAAGAGTTGAGTTCTTGCCAAGATATTCCGACTGGAGTCTCAACGCCAACTCGGCTGCCAACATTGCGGAAATAAGGAGCATCATGGTTTATATTCCTATCATGGCATTAGGGTACTAATTGCAGTATCTACATGGTATTCTTCTAGCATTCTGCCCTAACGTGGTCCGTCTATGTATCTTGACCGAGGCGCTAGTATCCAGGTAGTGGTAGGTCAGAGGGCTATAAGCATTTGGACTATGACAGCAGGGTAAGGCCACGACGATAGGCATAGAGGTTTGCTGGACCTGGATTCGACATTGGCCTATGCGAATACCTTACGGAGTACAGGTGTCAACCAAGTCGTGATGTAAATAGATGGCTTCAGCTCAATCCGCACATCAGATAGTCAGTCACCAACACGAAAGACGTCCAAGTTCCCTGATGGAGGTTCAAGCACAGATACATCCCTCTTTCCAACTAATGGGCCAATAACAGACAGACTCAGCCAGATGAGCAGGTGAATAGCCCGCATCCTTCATCTCCTTTACACTCTTCACCAGCGCCCTCGGCATCTGAACCATTCACGACACGTTGTCAACCCATCGACACTCCTACCTGTCTCTACAGCCAGCGGGACAAGCCTGCTGCCAAGTCGGCTGCATAGTAGGCAAAACGGCCCAAGACAATTTCCCCCAAGGCACGAGCATCCAAGTCTGTATCCTACGCGTGCGCGACTACAAGACTCAAGCGCCGTGGCGCCGTCTCACGCACGATTGACGGGACTATTCAGACAGAACACTGCGTCAAGACGGAAACGGAAAAACACTGATTCTCCCGCTCTTCCCACGCCGCCGCGCAGAGGGACCGCCCGCCCGATGTGGCCGTGTCTCGCGACGGTGTCGGTTATTGGACGCGCCGCGAAACACGGGAGGCGAAGCAGCATGGGCCCTCGACACCTTGGTTCCCCGGGTTCCAAAGTCTAAAACGACGCAGCACGTCTCAGTTGCGAGATGGCACTGCAGGGCGGACGGCCTGGCAACCCAACCCGTCTGGTTGTCTTCTTGGGGGAATAGGAGACTCCGCGCATATCGAAACACGAACCCATGGCATTAAGACCCGAGTTGGGGAGGAGGTGTTGCACATGCCGCTTCGAGGAGCGGGCGGCACCGACGTCGCACCGATATAAGACACGTTCATATAATAGAGGCGTTGTACTGTTTGGACCGAGTGTGCGACGTTTGTTGTTGAGTGGAGGGGCGGGATTCGCCTGAACTGAGACTCCTGGGGGTTGAATAATGGGTAGATGTATCGGGGTGGAATTAGGAACTTGGTGGGCATACCTCTTGGATTGCCATGTTTGCAAAGGACAAGGCGTCTTTTTGACTTGAGCACATGCATTGAGCAGCATGAGCCCGTTTCTTCATTTAAAAGAAACAATGATGCGGCTCGTGCTTGTATCAAGTTATTTGTTTGTGCTGTATACCGCGGTAGTGTAGGGTAGTTCCCGATGAGCAAAGAGGTAATATGCACAGAGCTCTACATTCCATCGCGCCAATGTAGCTCAGCTGGTCCTAGTTTATCCTCATGTACCATGGACTAAACTACCGCAGGTCAAGATGGGACTTTTGAAATGGCACACTGTTGTGAGCGTGCCGCCAAAACGCCAACGCCACGATGGGCCCTTTATCACCTAGGGAGCGCATTTTCCTCCGTTTGGAAAAACCCGCGAGAAAATGGTTGATGAAAAATGACAGAAAAGCAGCAATACCAATGGAGTGAATGTGGCGCCTCCTCAAGGAAGCAAATCATGGCGGAGATCATGCCTCCTGAACAATCCAGGTGGTGTTTTCATGTAAAAGGTAAACGCCGCGGGCCGGGAAAGGGCTCCGATCTCGACCATCGGCCGTACACCACGCATAAAAAATACGAAATGGAAGGAACAAAGGAGTGGCATGTATAATGGTCCATTGTAGAACAAGTGGCCATTCTCAAGTCTCGAGTCCCAATCAGGGCCATGACCTTTGGCGATGCCGCAAGCAAATTGCTACATGTGCCGCAAAAAAGCCATTGTTCCCAGTCTTCGAATATAGCACGCGCCTGCAGTCAGCAGCACATGATGACGGACGCCTTGCCACGCGGGCAATACAAGCTCCGTCGCTTCGGACGGCTATTACCCGATCCCTCTACTGCTGACAGCAACGTTCAAATCGACCTAGGTAGCATTCAAAGAATTCCATGTTGCCAAATCAAGGCCGCCCGCTCAGTTTGCTTGTTACTCTGTCCACCGTCGTATCGACGGCTAGTAGAGAAGGCAATCAACGGCGTTGCCCAGTTTCGACCATGTCCGAAGAAGAATCACGTCCGAAGAAGATGTGCCCAAAGTGCTCCGTACGAGCTCCCTTGGCCTTGAAGGCTGACACCGCCGACACGACGGGCAATCCAACAAAAAGACGATCCACGGCTGCAAGTATGTGACGTTTGCAATACGAGTATACAAGAAATACATATAAGACGAGAAAAGCCCTACCCCCTACACCACCACGACCAAAAAACATCTCAGCTACTCATATCCTCAAACCTCACATCTCGCCACGACCACTGCGGAAAATGAAGCCCACCAGCATTCTCGCCGGCCTCGCCTCCTCCGCCGCAGCAATGCCCGCCCACACCATCCAGCCAGACCAAGTCCTCGAGACCTCGGCCGAATTCGCCGCCCAGTTCAACCCAGCCCCCGTGCCCAGATGGACCGTCCAAGAGGCGCGGCGTGCGTGCGCGCAAGACGACAGCCTCTGCACCTGGCGCTTCCTCGTGGACACGCACGTCGCTGCCAAGACGGACGTCACGTTTGTCGTCCGCGGCCCGGGGGCCTCTCGCAACAGCGGCGGCGCCCAGAACCTCGGCGACTTCACGTTTACTTCTGGCTATGACGCGGCTGGCTTTACGACCTTTGCTGCCGTGGACAATAGGCGTGGCTTGATTGCGTTTCCGGCGTACAGCGATGCGGATGTTGCGGATGGTCGCGTTGCTGTGGACCGCGACTACGACGTGTACTATGTGCGCTCTTGATGGTGATCACTGGGCTGCTGCGGGGGCTCTTGGACGGATGTTTTCGTGGTATTTGTGGAATAGCGCCGTGTGAGTAGGACAACATTGAAGCGCTGCTGGGAAGACAGTAGCTCTGTTTTTGACGTTGAGTGCCCCTTTTTTGAGGTTCGGCCACTCCTTTATGTAGGGCCTCTTTTGGTTGAGAGTTGGCAAGTTTTAGGATGCAGAAATCGAGTCATTGTTACGGATATCATAGAAGGATTACTTTGTGTGCCTAGACAAGGGCTCTGACCAGTAGTCTTTATTATGTGAATTGATAATCCAGGCCCATCACAAGACAGGCGATTTCACAGACTCGATCAAGTCTTCCACCTGAATGCGGGATGCTTCCAGTCCAGATCCTCGACTTGCTTGGACGTCAACGCGCTCAACTCGGCCTCGACGTTGCGCCCTTCTCGCTTGCGGTTATCCCTCTTCATCCACGCCCACATCAGCGCACTGGCAACGAGCGTCATGCTCGCCGTCGCCAGGTTGAGCCCGTTGCCAACATGATAATCCGGCGCATCCCAGGGGAGAAAGGCCCATGCGGCAATCAAGCCGCCCACATTGCCGCACATGACGTTGAGCCCAATCGCCGCACTCCGGGCGGTATCGCTGACGATGTTGGCCGAAACATGGGCATTCGTCAGGGGGCCAAAGGCAAAGGCCGACGAGGCGATGAGAAACGTGGCGGCGTACCGCGCCGTCGCGTCGCTCGTGCCCAGGAAGACGCAGTAGCCGACCATGACGAGAGGCGCCGACAGCACACAAAAGACGAGACGCCGATCGACGCGCCAGCTCATCAGGGGGAGCAGGACGGTGAAGAAGCCGCCGACAACGTAGGGAGGCACCGTGTACAGCTGCTGCCGCACGACGGTCGCGCCGCCGTAGATGGTCTGCACAATGGTGGGCGCAAAGAAGGCGAGGCTCTGCACGGTGACGTTGTTCAGGAGGAAGACGAGGGCCGTGGCGAGCGTCACGGGGCAGGCCACGCCGCGGCGCAGCTTGACGCCGTCGATGGCGTCGAGCATGGCGGCGCCCATGCGCTCCGACTCGACGCGCGCGACGGCCAGCGCCTTCTCCTCCCGCGACAGCCACCGCGCCGACAGCGGGCTGCCCGTCAGCGTGGCGAGGGCGAGCAGGCCGAGGCCGACGGTAACAACACCCTCGACGGCAAAGATCATGCGCCAGGCGCGCAGGCCTCCGACGTGGTCGAGGGTCAGGATGGCCGAGGCCAGCAGGCCCCCAAAGGCGCCGGCTAGGGGCGCCATGACGATGTACAGCGACAGGCGAAAGGCCAGCTCGGCGCGGCGGTACCAGCGCGAGAGGTAGTAGGCGATGCCGGGCATCATGCCGGCCTCGAAGACGCCGAGGAGGAAGCGCACGCCCATGGCCTGGGGCACCGTCGTGACAAAGGCGTTGCACACGGACGCGACGCCGAAGAGGACCACGCTCAGCGGCAGGAACCAGCCCGGGCCGAGCCACTTGCAGCACAGCGTGCCGGGGATCTCGAAGAGGATGTACGACACGTAGAAGACGCTGATGAGGCGGTTGTAGTCGTAGCCGCGCATGCCGAGGTCCCTGTCCAGCCCGGCGATTTTGGCATTTCCTGGAGACGGCGCGGCGTCAGCGGTGAGCAGGCCAAGCTGGCATGGATGATGGACTTGTGCCCCCCCTTCTCATCTTGTCACGCACCTAGGTTGGCGCGGTCGATGAAGCAGAACAGGTACAGCAGCGAGACTGTCGGGACGATGAAGAGGTCGATTTTGAGGCGCAGCCTGCGTTCGGCGGCGGGGTCCAGGACGACGCTTCCTTGGGCCAGGCTGGCGCACACCAGAGATTTAGTAATCTGATCTGGATGGATGGACTCTGGGGTCGTGTGTGAGCGTACCTGTCTCTCTGCGGCTTCTCGTCGCGAGAGGCGTCGCTGGACTGGGCGTTGATCATGGCTTCCTCACGGCTGCTGCGAGGCAACACCGTCTGCGCGCCGAGATGCTGGGCCTTGGACTCGTGGGCCGCCATGGAGGCGAATACATTCAGCGAAGCTGCCCTTGATGCAGGCAAGTGAAGAGACATCAATTGATCTGGAGGAAGAAGGTGCCGCGGGCTGCGGGGGCAAACGCTGTCTGCACATGTGCGCTTCGTAGAAACCTTGGCATTATCACGTCAGCTGTCGCGGAGCTGATTCGTACTCCCAGCGCCAGGTTCCGGCCATTATCAGCTGTCTGGTCGAATCAATTCTGGTTCATTATTCACTGGCAAGCGCGTGGTTCCTGCTTGGCAGATGTAGCGTGGGGGCCAGACCCCTCTATTCATGTCAAATCGCCTCGAGGCAGCCAAGGCAAGCCTTGTCCGAAGCCACGGCTTGTCGGATCCGAACAACCCTAACCCTGGTACAGCATCGAGGTCGGGATATTTTAATGGACAGCTGGAAGACACGATGTGTCTGTCGCTGGACCGGCGTACGGCTAGTCGGGTTTTCATATTTTCCGGCTGGCCCATTATCCGAACAAAGAATGGAAACCAGTCTCGTCACTCTTCCTCAGACAAACAACAGTCCAGGGACACATGATATGCGGCACCACCGATGGCCGCAAGGTATTCAATTTAGAACAGGTGGCCATGGAAGAACCAGCGTTATGTGGCTTTGAAAATCACCAACAGCTCATCTGCAGTCCAAGCAGCCGTGCGGAAGGAAATTGACGTTTCAAACCACATGTGCTCCATGTGCACCACGCACCCGGGCCAGGAGTATGTCCGCAAGATGCTTGATTCCTTAGAATACCAGATATGTCTGCCACCAAGGGGCTCTGGGTAATAGTAATGTGCCGTGTTTATTCTCTTGTCCTTGTCGTTGCTCACCTTGAACCTGGCGTGTATCGGGCCGACGTAGCATGACCATGGATGATGTGCTTGCTTTCGTGCGGAGTGTCTCTATCGGTGCTAAGTAAACATTTATACCTATTCAGGAATAAAAACATAAGAAGCTTATATTCGCCAAATAGGCTCATAATACTTTAATACGTCCTCAACAACTTGATGTGCACATGTGCTCGTTCAACTTTGCCTTATCCCTACTCAACCCTAGCCGCCATGTTCTGATTGCTCTGCTCCTTGGAGCCTAGAAATTGTTCCCCTTCACACCAAAGCGGGCGGCAAAAAGTCGAGTATTTCCCCAAATTAGGTGTCTGGCCACCGGGCCTACAACATACTACATCATAGCATCTTAGTATACACCTTTTGATAGGCGAACACCGTCCGCCACGTACTGTTCCCAGGCAGAGCCGACGCCGGCAGAATAAACAGCGAACGGCATCATCAGGTGGTCGCAGCATGCAAACGCAAGCGCCCCTATCTGCCTCAGGAACGGGGCGACGGCCTTGACAAGGAAACCATCGCAAAAGTACACCCACCTTTGGCCCGAGGGCTGCTGGAGAGATCTGACAACATGAACGGCAAATATCGGCGGAAAGCAGAGGACCGAAAAAAAACCCAAAAAGGTATAAAGTATTCATAACCCCTGCAGTATCGAGTCGTGTCAGTCGAATCGCGTGAGCTAGAAATAGTAATCATCATTCCATATGGCGGGTTACGCACTTACGCCTCGAAGAAGACATCGTGAATCCGGAAAAAACCAGGAAACACAGCCTCGACCAGGCTCTCCAGCCATGTCTCCGGACTGCAGTAGTTGCTCACGCATGACGACGGCAGCAGGAGGCTGAAACGCAGCGCCAGATATAACAACAGCGGCAGGCGACATGGCGGCCACCTCAGGCGTGAGGATACCGGGAGGAGGTGAGAAATGATGTCTTGGCGATACATCCAGGCTGTCAAGGTGACGAGATAGGGAACAAGATCGCGTATGGTGGGGGAAATAGCAGCTGGTATGCTTATTGTAGCCATGTTGCAGAAGGAGCAGTGAAGCTGCGTGTATGGAAGCGGAGATATTGAGCTGCGGTGTATTCCTGGAGGAATAAAATCAGCTATGGATATTGGGGCGGAAAGAATTTATACATGCCCATGGTGTGTGGACTTTTTGGGTTTTGACCAAATGTCTTGTCAAGTCGACCAGCAGACGGTCAGGGCTTTGCCTAATCGTTTAGTCTCGCTAGTCTATATTTGGCTGTACATGTATGTATACATTAACCATAAATTATGCTAATACATGGGAACGTGGAGCGCTTGATAGAGTTCCCCGGCGCTTGGCCTAACCAGCCACCCAGCAGGAGACACTAACCGGGCCAAGGGCTGCAATTGCTGCACCTTTTTGCACTACGGGTACAAGGTCAGACGCGATATCAATCGTTGCCTCTTTCCAGCTAAAGCGTCATGTCTGTGTTGACTCGTCTCATGGCGTTTGCTACCAAGATACCAGAGCAACGTTGTTCAACGACTACTTTGCTCTCGGCCCACATGACGGATGAAGAATGGATAGCCCTAGCATTGCAGGGTCTGCATTCTTATTCAACGCCATCCATCAAGTTGCCTCGGTTTCTTGGGCGTCTGTTGTGTTTAACATGGCCAAGATGAATTCTATATCTGCATCTCGCCTTCACAAGTCCATAGCGACACACGGTTACTCGAGGTCTACGACCAGGGGACCTAGGGCAGAAGACCTCACCGACTTCTTGTATAAAGAGAGCTCTTTGGTCAACTGGGCTCTGAAGAAAACCAAAGACCTTTTATACTAAAGACTGTCTGTAACTAGATGAATCGAGTCATGATAATCAAAGGCTCAAGTCTTGTCACATATAGCATGCAAGATGGCAGATGAGAAATGCCAAACCCCCCAAAGACTGTGTCACAAGGCATGAAAGGGGTAAAAATACTTGTCTTGCTATCACTTTTGGCGCAACAGCAAGGATACGAATGCAAGACCAACCTTTGCCGGGAATATCGTTTTGATTGTGAATTTGTGTATATGTTGTGAAGCGTCTCCGTTCTTGGTCATGTCAAAACGAGCGGCTGTCAATATGAGCCCTCGACCCTCAACGGCCAACCAGGTCTCCAGTCTTGGAAATTACCTGCCCGCTTACAAAATCCACGTCATTCTGCCAAGTTGCTCCGAGCCTCGGTGTGCGTGTCTGGCACAAGTTGGACAATTGCCGAATAAGTGGGACTGGACTACCGGCAGTCAACCAACCATGGCTTGCAGAAAAGGCCGAGCACTCGGCTTATTATCAATGTGCCGACAAGTCCCACCATACGAGTACACGATATAAAAGGTGTGAATAATTAGAAATTTCAGATGCATTGGGACACGTTTTCTATTTTTTCCCACGTCCTATTACCAATGACTGACTCTACTGCACAAACATCCCACGCTAGCTGCAGCATGGACATGCCATCTGACCTCGAAGAGCCCAAGCCTCCTGCAGACTGGCCCGAAGGAGGCACCAGAGCGTGGTTGGTGGTCGCAGGAGGCTTTTGCGTCTCGTTTTCGACATTTGGATACTCGAATGCATACGGGTATGATTGCCCCGTCATCCATGGCTCGGTACTTGAATATCAATGCTAACGGCTATCCTGACGCAGCATATACCAGGATTACTATTCCCAACACATGCTTTCCCACGAAACCCAGTCGACGATATCGTGGATCGGATCCGTCCAGCTCTTCTTTCTGTATGCCGGCGGCGTCGTTGGAGGACCACTGTTCGACCGCTACGGCGCCAAAGTAAGTACATTTGCATATCCCCCCGACTTTGGCCCATACCACTGACCACTGACCGGAATAGGTGATGCCGCTCCCGGCGCTCATCATGGTAGTCGCCGTCATGATGACCTCGCTGTGCACCCAGTACTATCAGTTCATGCTGGCCCAGGGCATCCTGGGAGGTCTGTCTTCAGGCATGCTCTTCGCGCCAGCCATGACCTGCGTCAGCCACTACTTCCACAAACGCCGCGCGACTGCGCTCGGCATCACCGTCACCGGATCCTCCCTCGGGGGCGTCGTGTTTCCCATCATGCTCAGCCGGACCATCAAGTCGCTCGGCTTCGCGTGGTCGGTGCGCGTCGTGGGATTCGTGATTCTGGCCATGATGGCAGTCGCCGTCCTCACAGTCAAGGAGCGGCTGCCCCCTCGCCGCGGGAGCATCCTCCTACCGTCGGCCTTTGCGCGGGTTCCGTATGCGCTCGTCGTCGCGGGCCTCTTTCTCATGACGCTCGGCCTTTTCACGCCCTTCTTCTACCTGCCGCAGTTTGCGCAGCGGCAAGGCATGAGCGACAACCTGGCCTCGTACATGCTCTCCATCTTGAACGCGGCGTCTGTGTTTGGGAGGTCGTTGCCGGGCGTCGTCGCGGACAGAATCGGCCGGTACAACACCTTGGTGGTGGAGGGAACATGCAGCGGCATTTTGCTGCTGTGCTGGCCGGCCGTGTCGTCCAACGCCGGCGTCATCGTCTTTGCCGTCTTGTACGGCTTCTTTTCTGGAGGCATCATATCGTTAATGTCTCCGTGCTTTGCGCAGGTGACGCCGCAGCCCAACCAGATGGGGACGTATCTCGGAATGGCCATGGCCATGCTGGGTGTTGCCGCCTTGGCCGGAACGCCCATTACCGGGGCGTTGCTCGAATCAGGCGGCAACTTTACACACGCTGCTGTTTTCAGTGGTGTGGTGATGCTAGCTGGGACGGTCGTGTCGGCCGTTGCTCGCTGGTGGCAGAATTCGGCATTGCTCGCAAAGGTATAGTCGCATGCGTTGCTTTCCAACCGCTGCTCAGGGGCCCGGGGGGCTAAGGTATTTGATTCTTTACGTCGCCATTCAAGGGTCAACCCGGCGTTTTGGTGCTGGCGGGAATATAGAAATGTTGGTTAGAACCTCACTGGCGAATGACGGGATAGACAGTTTTGTGCGCGGAATATTAAAGGTAATAATACTTGCTACTAGTTGTATATGCTTGCTACTAGTCATATATGCTTGCTACTAGTTATATATGCTTACTACTAGTTGTATATGCTTACTGCTAGTTGTATATGCTTGCTACTAGTTATATATGCTTGCTACTAGTTATATATGCTTACTGCTAGTTATTATGCTTACTACCAGTTATATATACTTTTATTTCTTGTCAACATGGTCAAATCAGTCACAGAATCACCTCGAATGCAAGCGGACGCAGCAAAAAGCCGCAACACAATGATAATCTATATTCAACAACTAAATAGCAAAGACAAAAGTCAAAAGCACCCCACTAACGAGACATGGCCAACTATTTCGTAGCGACAACTAGTCAAATTCACAGACAAGGCCCTCTCGGAAGATGCCCCCGGGTGAAACAAACCACCACACCACCAGGATGGCTCAACAACCGTGACTGTTCCCCGCACCGACTTAGGCTTTGCCATTCTGCTTAATATTCTGGTCCAAGCAGTGCTCGAAATTGCGGCCCGGGGGATAACCCCAACCCTCACGGCGGACGGGCTGTGCCTTGTCGTCAATGGTGTTGGCCACGAAGCCCTCGCTCTGACTCTGCTCCAGCTCAGCGAGGAACGCAGGCATGTCGTCCTGGGTAATCTCAATCTGGACAAGGTCGTTGGCGGGAACGTCGCTGAGGTCGTTGGCCGGCGGCAGGTCTCTCTTGGACTTGGCCTGGCCATTCTCCGGGCAGTTCTTCTCGAGGTCGACGGGATCGGGCAGCTCTGCACGGCGCGCCCACTTCTTGGCGGTATTCCCGTCCTTGGGAGAAATGTACCACTGGTTGCCGGGCATCCAGTACCAGCCGCCCTCGAGCTCGCACACGCTCTGGTCCTTTTGACCCTTGATCCACTTGACTGCCTTGGGGACCTTGGTCACCTTGGGCTGTGCCGACAGGGGGCTGCTGTCCTTCTCGATGAGGTTTCCTCTGGCGCGGACGGGGCTTCCGCTCTTGTCGCGCAGCACGTAGGTGAAGGTGCACTCGTCGTCGGCGAACTTGTGCGACGCGATGACGTCGGGCTTGGGCATCTTGATGCCCTGGTTGTCGGGGCCGTAGCCGGGAATCTTGGTGTTGAGATCTCCGTCAAAGTCACCAAACGCATTGTCGCTGTAGGTGTAGAATTGGTCGCCTGCCCTGACCGAGGGCGTGCACTTGCCGAAGAGCGCGAGACTGAACTTGGCCTTGGAGTGCTTGCTGTTGGCGCACTGCGCGTCGTAGTAGGGCGTGGTGATGCATTTGCCCCTGAGGGTCCTGGTATACGTCCAGGTGACGTGTCTGCAGATGCTGTTCTTGGGGCATTTCCAGTTCTTGGTTTCCGTGACTGTGTATTCAGTCTGCTTCGAGGCCTCGCCGTATTGGCCTCCCGTCGTGCGCTGGTTGCCGTAGATGGTGGCCGAGAGAGAGACGGAGAAGGCGCTGATTCCCGACTGTATGCCCACCGTGGCGGAGCCGCCGATTTCTGTCGACTCTTCCTTGTTCCATCCGATCCTCTGCGTGTCGACAATGGCCTTTGATTCGGTGACTGATCCCGTTTCTTCCTCCTCCTCGGTGATGGTGTCGGGAGCATCGACATTGGGGACGACATCGAAGAAGGATTGTGTTGCCTCTTTGATGAAGGAGTTGCGAATGTACAAGCATTTGCGCTCGGATTCCACAAAGTGCTCATAGTCGTCCTTGAATTTGTCCCCCAGGGCGGCTTTCGAAGCCTCCATGGGGCCCTCTGAGTAAGGAAACTCCTTGCCCATGAACCTCTTGGTGCTCGTGAGATGACGCTGAACCTGGCTGGATTGCAGGATGACTCCAGCCAAGTCAAAGTCACCGGCTTGTCGGGGCACAACAGCGCCGTGCGCAGTTGCGGCAGACAAGGACAGTGCTGTCCAGAGCATCATGCTGATCATGGCGGATAGCAGTTGGTCCGCAAGGCGGATGTGCAAGTAACGAGAGTGTTGTGAAAGGAGTGTAGAGTTGTCCGTGTTGGATACTGATTGCTTTGGTGAGGCGACAAGCCTGGATATAAATACCAGTCCAAGCTACACAAGTCCTGCCCAAGCATCAGCAACCTCATGTTGCCGCGTGGTCTGATGCCAAAAGCCATGATGCCTGTGAGAGCACCTCGTCTGCGTCGGGCGCGCATCAACTTCCCATGGCGCCGTTGTCGGGTTCGTCACTTGCATGATTCGAATCAGGCGTCGTTGAGGTCGCCAGTATAACGATGTTTGCGGGCTGGACGGCATGAATGCCAAGAGGGAATGTCTTGGGGTATCGAGTCATGAATCAATCAGAAACAAACGGCCGGAGTTTTCGTGGCTGTGTCTCACCATGCAACTCGACTGGCCTCCGACTTTTGCCCGGCAGCATTTAACGTTTGGTTCATATAGCCATGTGGGGGATCATTACATATGTATGTAAAACTCCGGTGCCCCTCTTGATCTCTTTAGCTGCGCACTGGCTTGCGGAGACTCTTCTCCCATACAGCTTTCCCAGAGAAATGAGTCTCCGCAAGCCAATGCGCAGCTAAACATGGAAGATATTGATAATTTATCGCGGTAGCTGGGGCCGCGCAATTGCCGGCATAAAGAGTCTCAAGCTGGTATATTGCATTGTGGATTAGACTCCAGGTCCACGAATAATGCTCCCAGCTTCTCATCCTGGACTCGCAGATTGCCGAACGTTGTTTTTTCAACAAAAAAAAAAAAAAGATGTCATGAATGTCTTCCAAGTCGTCTCCGTATCATTTGACTCGATGCGAAAAATGGCGTGACCATATTGCCGGTCGTCCCAACTGCCGAGCATAATACGAGACCCTGACTAAACGACACCCCAAGATTGCCATGGCTTGATATGGGACGGCATTTGCACGTCATCTGATGGATGAGCCTTGATGTCCAATACTCACTAGTCGTCGAGTCTATTGACCATAGTCATGTTGCCCAAACCACAAATTAGCATTCATGCGCATGTACGCGTTCTCGGCCACCTAGCTCTTTCCTCGGAGTTGCACAGCCAAGTTTCCGGCAAGTATTGGAGTCATGGAGCAGCCATCATACCAAGGCCATGGACGCACATGTAGCTGAAGCTACCATCTTCCATTGCCGGGCATTGGGAAAATCGCATGAGGCTGAGCCGCAAGTTCCCGCAACAATGCAGCTGAAGAATCCCAGGCGGAATCCGCAGCCGTTGTCGGACACGTTCCGGAATGAAGAAGAATCAACTTCCGTTATTATTGAGTATTTAGAGTCTCATTTCCGCCGGTCCAATCTCGAAAAGCAAACTCTGGTCTTTAGGTAGCCAAGTTACGACGCTCCTTACAAAGCATTCAAAAACAGTTTACACAGGCTTCCGGCCAGAAACCTTTGTAAGTCTCAGCGTAACCATCCGGGGCCGTCTCCAAATATATACTAACTGCGTCTTTGTTTTAGCATTCTCTTTTTCTTCTTCTGCAAAAAACAACAACAACAACAACAACAATAACAGAGAGTCTTGTATGAAACTCTGAAGCCATGGAGTTGCCCAAGATCACGGGTTTCCTGTGGTTCTACCTCACTATACTGTTGTCTTTTAGTCAAGTCTTGACAGCGCAAGGAGGAAAGAAATGGCAGCTAAAAGCGGAGCCGGAAATCCCAGAGGATGGTCTTCAAATCAAGCTTGACCGTGACCTGTACACACACCAAGGTTCAATCGTCTACACCAGTCACCTCAAATTTGATGAGAAGCCAGAGATTTCGGATAGCCAGCTATACGATATTGCTACGGATGCTTTCATCGAGATGCAGAAAAGCGCTGAAGCCAATGGCCTTGACAAAAAGGTTCCAAATGTCATGACGACCCTCCTTGTTGGCAACGAACTCATCTTTGGGTCCTCAGCAAAAGGCCCAAACAAACCTTATGATCGAGAATCCCAGGTCCAAGGCGACCTGAAGGTGTGCGAAGACGAGAATGAAGGCAGGGCCCACAAGAATGGAGGAAGGTGTGGTGAGGTAATAGCCTTTCACACCTGGTACGAGTCCCATGTCCGTTCTGAAAAGTTGCAACCTGGTGAAGGTACAAAGATTGTCGCAATTTCCTCCCAGAAGAATGCCGATGGCCAGGAGGAACCTGGTATCCTGGCCCCCTGTGGCAACGGCGTATGTACATGTCTACATGTCTCCAAAAAAGTCAACTACCCTCAGCAAAGTACTAACTGAACGTCCAGGAACAATGGGGCTGCGACAAGTTTGTAAACGGCATCTACGTACTGAATAAAGGCAGGGTTGACGCGGATAAGGCCGCGAATCCTGACAGGGAATCATTTGACTACAAGACCTTGATCAAAAACAAGAAGCTCACGCCGGCGCCGACACGGCCGGACCTGCCACCTCCCAACCCTTTGCCCCCTCCTCCAAGGCCGAATACCAACCCGGGTGGAAGCGACGGTGGACCGCCTTTCAACCCTTTGTCGCCTCCGGGTGGCAAGCCGAAGCCGAAGCCGAAGACCAACCCGGGTGGAAGCAACGGTGGACCGCCTTTCAACCCTTTGTCACCCCCGGGGGATGGCAATACGGATACTAACCCTGGTGAAAGTACAGACAACCAAGGTGGCGGTAGCAAGCCTGTCAAGCCCAAGCCGACTCGCAAGCCCAAGCCACCAAAGAGGCCTTGAAGAAGCGAGCAACGCTGTCGCTTCCAAGCGCAACGGTCAGCTTGTGTCCGGCGCGCGTACCTGGTATAGATGGACTTGGGTCTTGGTTTCTCTATGCAAGGAATTCGCATGTTGGTCTAGAATACTCGCTATATTTGCGCTTTGAACCATAGTTTGCCTTGGCAATACAATCTCTTTGTTGTGAGGCACTGCAATTATTTACAGACATGGACCACGAGTGACTGGAGCAATTCTAGAAAGGTTCTAGCGTGTAATTGCCAATGGTGGATTGGCCAGCCCGGCGCAATTCGTGGCCAGAGGCCGCGTGCGCATGTGGAGTCAAGTCCTCCTTGCTAATTCCGGGTATATCCGCCTGCACGCATGCAAGTGGCTCGTCCACTTTTATGTCAACGACCAGACTCCGAGTCGCGGACGGGTACATACATACGTGCCCAGCCCACTTACCTTGACCTGGGGTAATGTGTGAAACAGTCAAAATGAACTCTAATAAACCCTGTCTGACTGCCCAGTTCCTTTTGGGCGTCGGCTCGTGCCACGGTTCGGCATAGCCCCAGCCGGCAGTTGTTGCATACATGTAAAAGCTGGGACAGACTAGGCCCCGAAAGGGTTAGCCTTGGCAACTCGTGTCATGCAATCAATGCGGGTCATCTGCTTGAACCAGGGACAATATCCGTGAACCTATATAGACTTGACCACCTCCACCTTCTCGACGGCCCTTGAATCCAACTCGCCGTGCGCACTTCCTTATCCCCCACGAAAAGGTAAGCCATCGCCCGCTGCCCGGGGACCTTGTCTCTCGCGACGCAGAGCCCGACCGAGTCAGGCATCGCCATCCGCCTCTCTCCAGAGGCGATTCAAAAAGATGGCCGTCCCGCCGCTCAAGCATTGGCCGAGTGAGCTGCTACTGTCTCTCTTGGAATTGCTATCCTTGAACGACTTGCTCTCCATGAGTCGCGTCAACAAATCCATCCGCGCCCTAGCCCTGCCTCTGGTCTACTCGACGGTTGAGGTAAGCTGGACTTGGCGACGCACGCCGCCTGTTATCCTCCTACTCCAAAGCCTTCTCGACCGACGCGAGCTGTCTGGCTACATCCGCAACCTACGCCTAGTGGGAAATGGGTTCAAAGACAGGCCCGAAGTCAGGGAGCCGCCTGTACCCCCCCTCGACGCTCATCTGCTCAGCAAGGCAACCGAGGTCATCGAATCAACCAGAGTACCATTTACCAAGCTTTGGATAGACGAGTTGCACTCTGGCAGCGTCGACGCCATCGTGGCACTGCTTCTCGCCATGGTGCCTAATTTAACGTCCCTTCGCCTTGGGCCCAACTTCACTGTTCGAAGCCGACTCTGGGGAGGGATATTTCAATGCGCTCTTTGCGGGCCGCCAAACACGTACAACTTGCCTGCATATGAAGACCTACGCTCTGTCAAGTCCGAGTTTAGGACCAAAGAATGGCACCACATCGACGTGTGTAACGCGGCCGATGTTCTTGCCCTGTTTTACCTCCCGAGAATCCAGAACCTATCCGTATCTATTGACAGCCCGGTCGAGTTCGCCTGGCCTTGTTCGCATCCGCCAGCCGCCTCATCCATCGTGTCACTAGACATTTACCGGCTGCGCGAATCACGCATCGGCCCCGTGCTCTCGGTTCTAAAGGGTCTCCAGAGGCTGCATTGGCACTGGTCTTATCAGCCCGATCTTGACGAGGAGGTTAGCAAGGACGTGCTTGACCTCGACACGGCAGCTGTAGCGTTGAACGAAGTTGCCGATACGCTCACCGACTTGACTATTGGTGCAATCACACGTCCCAGGATATCCGTCGGGGATTACGACCCTCCTCTGCTGGAATTCCAGGGATCGCTGGATGGAATGTCCCGTCTGGGTAAACTTAGGAAATTACGTCTTCCGTGGGTCTTCTTGATGGGGTTTTCGGAATCACCGGCTTCGAAACTCTTGAGTGCGCTTCCTTTGGGCCTTGAGGAGCTTGAGCTAACGGCAGACCTGAATGACCATGAGGAATGGGAGTGGGATGACGATGACTCTATTATACACGCGGTAAAACTGGAGCTGGCGAGTCCATCCTTGTCGCGCTATACTTGTTTGCGTCGCATTGTTCTGCCTATTTCTTCAGAGTATTGCGAAATGACTAATGAGCAACGAGAGGAACTATCAATTATTGGCGCAAGGGCGGGACTCGAGTTGGGGTGGATGGAGAAGTAGGAAGATTGGCAGGAATAGCTTGACGGATATTTCGCCTCTCATGATTCGCTTCTCCTGCAGATAGTCTGCACCAAGGGACTGGGTTCAGGTCATGTCACCCGGTTACTGCTACCCTATTATGATGAATGTTCTCGGAATCGCTTCCTATATAGACTGTATTTCACGCGGCCGCTGTCGCAACCCGTGACTCGCCGACGGGTGAAGGGCTCTAGGGGTTCTGCTACGAACGGTCTAACGCATGAATTGAATCTGAGTATTTGAATGAAAAGGGGCTAAAACATGTATTCAGATATGTAACAGGCGCACTTGTCTCGAAGGCGGGGCGAGTCGTCCCGCGTCTCATCTACCGCAGGGACCTAGAGACGACAGAGTCTACCCAAATACGTATAACTAGTACGACAACTGTCTTTGCATTGTCTAGGGCTCTTTTAATTTCTTTGACAAACATCGGCCTCTCCATCTGGCATCTGCTACCCGGGTTCCCGTTCTGGTATAGGGCAATATATAGACTTGAACACTCTATTCGTGATGTTGTGTTGCCCATGAGGAAATGATTTGAACTCGGTATAGCGGTTCCCATCTCTGATTCCTATTAGCTTTAGGCCATAAAAGAACTTGTAAAGGACGCAGGCATCGTCCAATCCAACCTCGATCCCGTCGAAACTAGGGCTGGAATTTTAGCATTAGTCTGATTTTCTGTAACAAGTTCTCGACAGGTTGATTGGAATCATATTACTGGCCTTTCAAGTTGACACATGGACCCCTTTCAACACCAAATTTATAGCCGTCGTCGCCGTAAAGAACAGCCTTAAATAAAGGCTGTTCATCGATGGGCTAATTGTCTTGACGTGTGTAACCATGCTCACCGCGAACAAGTTGATCTGTTGCGCTGACTCTAAAGTCAAGAGGACGAAAGGAATAACGCTTGAAAAACGCATGCTTGTCAACGTTTGAAATACAGGGTACGTACAACCAAGAGGTATACAAGGTTCAACTATAACAGGCACCATTGGAATTGCATTTTGCTTGCTGGGGTCAAATACTGATATTTAATCATGTACCGTACCTCGCCGGAGTGTTAAGGAAGCAAAGCCAAGCTTCAGCAAGATTCCGCAGTCCCTCCCTTTAAACATGCAATGCAGTATCACCTAGACAAAGGTAGTTCCGGGACCACGTAGCATATGACGTACATTCAAGACAAAATAATGTCCAATTTTGTCCCGAAGCAAGCCGAGGAGTGTGTGTGCTACTCCATTATGCGACGTCGAGAGGACAAGCCGTTGTATGTGACTAATGCGAGGCCATACAACGAACAATGTAGGATAGTGAGACTAGGGAGAAAACGGCACCATTGTGGTAAACTATAATAGATATACAATCTAAACATGTCGTAGTAGATAGGCTAGCATGATAGTATAAGCGTAACAAGGGTTGTATCGTACAATTTCACGCATTCCATGAAAACAATGGAACATGGGACGCCTCAGTGTCGGGTCCTTCTACAAAGGAACCAAAATTGAAATCCTGTAGGAGAAAGTCCATATCATCGGGTATCTGTGGCTATTGTCAGTGGTGGAATCAACGCGAATCAGGGGTGCTGAAAGTATATTACAAGAGTGTGAAAGAAATCCGCGTCGTGGTCACGAGCTGCAGTAGAGTTTGGCTCACTGGCCTGGTTTCTGTGAGCTGTTAATATCCCGCCACTTATTTCGGGGCTACGCAAATAGGACATGTTGACTCACATTGAAGTAGTTGGACATCTGTGAAGGGCGTCATGAACGACTCTGCTCACACGTACCACTTTCTCGCCAACATCTTTGGCCCAGGTAGCCGAAGATGTTGGAATATACAGCGACTTGACTAGCCCGATGATCATGGACAAAACGTAGTAATCGCTTACGCCTTCTAGTGTTGACGTGACTCGCCTTTCCACGATTCGCCAGGCGTGTTCCACTAGTGATATGAATGGCTCGACGAGTTCTGGCATGGATGAAATAACACTCGATGCTGATGGGATTTTAGTATTAAAACAGAAAATCAGTCGCAGTCTACTTACATGAGTCATTAAAGCCAAGGTATAGCTCATGGCAAAGGTTCATTGCAGCGAAGAGGAGTCCCACTCGACAAGCTGTTTCTGTAACGAGCCGTTGCTGGTTAAGCGAGCGATACTGACTTAAAATCACGACGGCCGTGTCCAGCCTTGCTCGGCGGCACACTGCCGAGGTGGCAGTTGGCGGCGTTTGAATGGCGGCAGGAACATGGACCAGCAGAAGATATTGGTTCAAGATGATGCTCAGTGACGTCTCCAAATGCACCATCACCGAGTGTTTTGGAGTACCTACATGCGACTTACTCCACCCTGGCACTTTTTGCAAAGACTGAGTTAATGAATCCGCAAAGGCTAGGATTCGATCCATCTCGCTATTATTCTGGCAGCCGTTTACCATGGCACAGATCTCAGATCGAGTAGTATATGATTGTCGTAGAAGTACCTGGAACGAAGAGTTCGTCCACGTGCAAAGCGGCTGAGACGTCACTTCTTGGGTGCTTGACGGAGTCAACACTTCATCACTTTCGTTTGCTGGTGCCTGCGTATTAAACTCATCCTGTCGGATGCTAGGGGGCATTCCGCGCTCCATGGCGGCCAGCAAGTCAAGCTCAGTTATCGTCGCCCACAGCCTTCGCCGCATCTCACGATGAAATGGTGAGATTGGAGCCTCTGGCCCAACTTCCCGGTGATACCCTGCTGCCATTGCCCACCGTATTAATGCCCCCGTCGACGCCCAGAGCCCTGTCTCGTGGATATAGTTTGCCCTCCTGGCAATCAGCAGTAGACATTGAGTTTGTAACGAGGGCAAACTTTCCACAGAGATAGTGTGCTGAGAATTTAGCCAGATTTCGGCGGCTTGAATCCATTTTTTTGCCATTTCAATGGGTTCTGGGCTCGCGACCAGCGTGGCAGCCTCATGTCGCGTAGCCGATGCGATGGCCATTATGAGACATAGCTGGACTAGAAAATTTTCCGATGTTTCTTCAGAAGTCTCCCAGTAGCGGTTGTACTGACGATAAAAAGATGGGATGTGAAGAACACGATGGGTGATCTCGACATAGTCAAGATAGGCTTGTACCAGGACGTCCACCACTTCTTGTGGAGGAACCAGATTCACCAGGCTCTGTACATCAACCTGCGCCTGATTATTGTGACCGCTCGCCGGCTTTCTACTGAGTTTGACAAAGATGTCATCGCGCAGCTGGTTGATGAGAGGATACTGGGCTTTCACTTGAGAAATGTATCGCGGCAGATGGGCAAACTGAACGGATTAGCCACGGACAGCAAATGGGATCATCGGATGCCTATACCCGCTGGTAGAGATTCAAGTGGTAGCTGAAGCCGTAGAATCTAGTTGATGTTGCTCGACCTTTGAAGTGTATCATGCCTCTGGACGAGATTGTCTGCGGAGGACCGCTCGTCTCTTGCGCGAATGCCTGCGCCGACTGGTCTCGCCCGTCTGGCTGCGGACCTTCAACATGCCTCGGCAATGCTACTGGAACAGCATCTCCAGGCTGCGGTAAAGACGATTGCGGTAAATTTGCAGGAGAGCTGTTCCTGTAATGGCACTCGTGCTCGTGACCACTCTGGACGCAGCGGCGACACACGGGAACTTCTCGCCCGCATTTCACCTTTCGGCGGTAGCATGGAATGCAAGCGACTGGCGGACGCCGCTTCTTCAAGTCCGGCCGGGGAATCCGTTGGCGAGATGAACCCTGACTTCGGCCCATGCTGCCGCTGGTGGTGCTGGCAGGAGGTCGACTGCTTGCAATGGGCCGAGATGTTGAAGCAAGAAAAAACTGGGGATCTCGGCATTTTCGGCATTTTCACGCTCCCCGTTCACTTCACGTTCTTCAAGGTGGCGGACCATATTGGGCTCCCAGAAACATTATGACGCTTCGCTTCTGCCGTACTTGTTATCGCATTGGGATGGTCCACGATATCCAAGTCTATTTAAGTACATTAGACATCACAAACCGAAGCGATGGACACACTTGCCTCCACCACTGTAGGGCATGGGGGTGCGCAGCCCAACGGTTCCTGGCCGCAACATCGCATGGCAGGGGTCTTGTGCTGTCCTGTGAATGAGGTTGGGATGCAACGAATTATTCTTCTCGGTGGCCATGACTGGTGTTGGAGTTGACGTTGATAATTGAGATGAAGATGAGGGAAGGCAGATGAGGGGCCATTATCGGCATCGGCCAATCAGAGCTAAGAAAATGCCTGGGTGTGAATAATTTATTCGCACGCGAGGCGAAAGCTGTTCATCACCTTTATTCTCCTTATAGAAACATCGGAATTGGCCTGGAGCACGCTGTCGATGCGAAGGGCAGACAGGTCTGGAAAGCCTTGCGTGACGATACGCAGCCAGCCACAATTAAGAAAACCTCTCACAAAATACGATTCTTATAGCACATTATGCCGAGATCCATCTACGATCTACGCAGACACCTCATTGCGACTCCACAGGGCTGAAGGGGTGATTCAATGTTGGGTTAACTGGCAAGTTGACGCTGACATCGAGGCGCCCTAATAGCTAACCCAGTAAGCAGATGAGTCTGTTCTTCTTGCGTCAGGCGGCGCATTTAAACTCCGCCACAAATCATCACCGTTGTTATACCCCGGCCTCGAGAGACGCGCTTCCTAGACGTTGATAATCTGTTTGCTGGCAGCACCTAGTCACACACATCTCGATTGCTAGACAAACGTCTGCTCAGTTTTGTCCCGCCGCAACTATAATACCAGGTACTAAACAATGTTGGGAGTGTCGCAAACGGCGGCTTGTTTGTGACTTTGAACGTCCAGCATGCATCAAGTGCCGGGACAGAGGAGTCCAATGTCCCGGATATGACCACAAGCCTCTACGATGGGTTACGCCGGGGAGACCAGATCCAAGAAGCAAAAGGCCCAAGGCCCAACGGCGCTCCGTTGGTCAGTCAGCTGTAACCCGAGTATCACGGGCCCATTTCAAGGATGCAGGTGCCACACATCTGATAGAAGCAATAGACTGCTGTAGGTTATTTTTTCTCTACGTGGCGTGCTCCGTGTGATTGCCGACTCGAACGAGCTTCCCATTCTTTGCATGCTTGGACGGTTGGAGGGCTTATGCTAACTTCACCATTGCGCAGATAACCGCGTCATGAGTCCAGATTTGCTCGCGACGAGATTTTCGCTTGTGTCTTGGTGTTTTTGTTTGCCGAGGTGAGCACTACTCTGAGAAGCTTTGGCGAAGCATCAAGTGACTGATTGGTCCTATTTCCAGATACAACAATCCATTTCATCCTGTTGGCGATAACATGTGGATGCAGCTTGGACGATATCCAACTTACGCGGCGGGCTGGGTGAGCTAATACATAGCCACGCACAGTTTTGCCATTTGTTTCGCTATTTTACCATGTGAGCCCCCGATTGACCTTATCTGATGCGCGTTATCCCTGCTTGCTGACTTTCGGACGTTTGGCGCATTGCAGCATCGACGTATTCGGTGCGACTACCTCGCCGCCGCTCGATGTTGGCCGAGCACGCCAGCAGCTCGACGTCTTGCCGGTGCTACCTACGCTATATCGTGATGGGCTTTAGACGTGCGTGCCATGTCCTCCTGAGCTTCTGGGGCATGTCATCCTCGTCAACTACTTCAGGGCACAGTTATGTGGCCCTGCCGCCGAGCAGAAGAAGAATCATCTGTTTGCGGCCGCTGGAGCAACGTTGCAAAAAGTTTGCGACTTTTCTGTGCACCAATGGGTCGATGACACCGTTCTCCCCGGTTTGTTGATGGGTGATGCCGAGGAGGCATGCAAGCCCGGCTTCTAGCCAGACCAAGGCTCGGCGATGGATCTGGCTTGCCCTAACATCAGCGTTCAAATCAGCCATAGTGCTATATTGTATTTCAACAGTGTTCGACGGTCGCACATATGAATCTGGGGACAATGGCATGGCATGCAATGCACTCGCCTCCTGCTCTGATATCCGTATGTTCCACGTGGAAATGCTCCGAACAAATTTGCAAACCGTGGCCTCTGACGAGAGCGGGCAGCTTCGCAAGTTCACCATCTGGCTATTAGTCGTTCTGGGGGTGGTGACGGACCCGAGTGACGAGACATGCAAGAGATTCATAACAGGCGAACTGAAATGAATCAGTTGACATGTGGGCATTTCTTCAGCGTTGATTGCCATTGGAGTGTTGGAAAAGATTTGGCAAACATCTTGCACTTGGGTAAACAAGAAAGGCGTAGGGTGGGACGGTCTTTTTGAGAAACCGTACATTTTCGCCTTGTAGCAAAACTAGTCTGGTTTGAATGAGATACGTCTCTCTCAGAAACCTATTTGGTTGCATATTAAACCTAAAATATTTTCTGCCATACCCTAATCCAGACATTCTGCAGCACTCGTCTTCTATTGCATGGCCCGGTGAAACTGGTATTGCCAACACCTTTGTGGCGGTGTCACGAAACTAGCATTCATCGGCATTATTAAGCCTTGGCCAGTTTTCTTTCCTGTTTAGGAAGTATATGCTCATGGCTGTAAAGTCGATAATCCGGGACCGTGGTACTGCATGTAAGTTATTCAAAGATACTTCCGCTTACGGTAAAAAGGATGTATCCCGGTCTGCATTGATGTTTCCTACGATCCATGAATTGCCGGAGCTGAGCATCGTTTACTTTCTCTATTTATGATACAAAGACCTTCCAAAGCTCAGTTAAGATAGGGTGATGACCTTGACAGCATTGTTAATGACAAAGACGTTTCCCACATGAATGCATATAGGCGTCGCAAAGTGCGCAACCCGACAGTTTAATTTTTGAGGATAGTCTCCCTTTTCCAAGCTACTCTAGAGTCAGAGTTTCGAGTCGTCTTACTAGCCGACACCAACTGCGATGGTCTTGTTGACGACTTGGACAGCAACCACAAGCACATGTGGACATCTAACCGCGGCGTAATCTTTCTTATCAATATTGGTGGCGAGTATCGCCGCTGCACAATTCAAGATGCCAGAGGGATTTCACTCAGCAATTTGGAGCTTGCGACCTGCAACGGTGCGGCCGGCGATGTTCTGATCGCTCCGCGGTATGCGGCGCCCCCTCGACGCTGCAAACGCAAAATGGTCTGTCAAAGTGGCAAGCTCCGTTTGTAAAGACAATCCAAGGCATCCTGGACAAATTGCCGTCACAAATACCCTTGCTTGTCCTCAACAACAGCAGTGAGGTTTGGGCGCAGGACTTGATGGATCCTGCATTCGCAAGCATGCCAGGGTGAAACGGCCCAATTTCCCTTTGAATACTCCTTCCCACCACGCAGTCCACCCGGCCAAATGGTAGAAGAGTCTGGTCGGTGTTTGAACATCTCCGCGGGCCAGGCGTCGGGGTTGGCAGCCGGGACTCGGATCGGGACTCGGCAGGGAAGAGATCAAGTCTGGCGGCAACATTGAGACGATCCCTGCCTACGTCTCCCGATCCGGCACTGATTACCGAAACGGCCGGGTACTTCTTGGCAAATACTTGACAAGTACCCTGCGAGATGCTTGGTGGATTTTGTCAAGGCGCGAGTTGAACAGGCCCCGTTGTTCCTGGAAGCTGGCTGACTCGTCGTCGGTCACATCGACGAGATGGTCCAGTTTTTGCCTCACCGGGGCTCAGCATGGCCATTCCAGACAAAACCTCTGCCTTGAAGCTCTTCAGAAAGCTCAACGACACTGGTCAAGGGGGAGCATCCATTCTGAGCTTCGAGGGCGATGGCGCCCGACAAGGACGCCATCTTTGTCGACTCTAGCTTTCATGATACACTGTTGCATCGTTGCTGTCTGACAAAAGGGTTATTCAGGCGAACACGTACGCTCAGAATTTTCTAGACAGAAATTTGGCTCTTCTCATGCAAGAACTACCCATTGAGGAAAAGGACGTCGTTGGCGTCCCAACGCGGTAAAAGGACGCGATGTATCCGTGGCTACGGAGCCCTGGCGGCGTTACCACCGCGCCCTCTTGGCCAGAGACGGCCGCAGTCATTCTATCCATCAGCTGTAAATGGGCTTGTGCTCCAGCCAGACTACATTGCGCCGAAGCCGTGGGGTCCGCTCGTTCACGGAAGAGATGTTCTCGAAGAGGCCATACGCGACGCATACCAGGCTGCGGGCATGAATGTACGCTTCGTCGATGACTCCATGTCACGCCATGTTTGAGGTGGCGAGGTTCACTGAGGGACGAATACGCTGAGGGAGACGATGTATTTCGTGGTTGATGCTATAGTGGCCCGGCATATTGCACGGCATAAACTGTTTGGCTTGGCGAATTATTCGTTTGGACGATATACTGGTAGCAGGGTGTAAAAGCGACATGGGTGTCGAGCTTTAGGAAGAACATTTTGCACCCGTGGGTAAATGAGCGGTTCTTATAGTCCGAGATACATTATAGCATGATGTTGAGTGCCCAGAATAGCCTAGTTGGAATTCGGTTCCATCGAGGCACCTGCCAAGAAACTAGACTTATCAGACTGCCCTATCTTGTAGCTATATCTTGTTCATAAGACTTTGAGTATCCCAAGTAGATACCCAGCAGGGATCCTATTGCCCGTTAGCAAATAAGTGGACGATTAAGTGGCCAGTCCACTTAGTTGCCAATAGGTGCCTCAAATAAGCCGAAGTAAGCCCTGTTGGCTTGATTTTCTGCCCGGAACAGACGGGCAGGCGGCAACGCCGGAAGGTCGGCTCGATGATTCCGGAAGATCTTCACTGACTTGGCTTGGTAGTAGACAGTTACTAGCAGTTGGCAGAGGCAACTATGGGAGTAATCTAATTGAGGTTACCGGAGTTGCCCTAGTTGTCGCGAATAAAGTGGTCAAGGCGCATTCTGGGCACGAGGTTGGATCAAAAGTGTGTAGTTTTCGCATCTGACATCCTAGTTGTTGCATTTTCTTTGTCGCAAGTCCTGCAACCAGCACGAAGGCATAGAAACCTAAAATGTGGCATACCATGAGTGGTGTTTGTAACAGTTTTATTTTACAATCTCAATACCAACTTGGTTCCGAACATAGATTGCCGTAATGTGACATATCCGAACCCTATCGCCCAAAATTCTAGATGGACGCAAGTCAAGACAGCCACATCAATTGCAGAATCTTCCCGTAAAAACACTACATGACGGAAATGGTTTTCGAGGAGCCTCAAGGTCAACTCTGTTTGTTGCAGAGCTGCAAGTATGTGGCCAAAAGAATGGGAAAATACGACCCCATGTTGGATTACTCCGAGGCCGAGGAGGCATGACAACCTGGCCGTCAGCCATGACAGCGCCGTGCGTAGGGAGTAAGCGGATGACTGTGAGAATCAGCATCTTTGCCTGGGAAATCCCATAGACTTGTGGTACACGCTGCCAACAAGCCATGGCTCGCCTGGAAAAGTGATCGGTCAGACGGACGTGGCCGGCATCTCCTTACAACAGAACACCATAAAACCGGCCAGGTTGGCAGCTCCTGGAGGTCATCCCACCACATACATGGGCCACATGTTTGAGACACTGCACGGCAAGAACGGGAAGCAAAGCCACCCAACATAGTCGGATGGCTGACAATGAACCATGGGGAGCCATCAATGTGCGTCAGCACGTGGCACACGGGAAACAATGCTCGACGGAACGTCTAACTTGGGCGGGGTGGTAAAGTAGGGAATCCTGCATATATGAGGCTTATTCCTGTTTGTTTGGCTCTCGTGATGGACAAAGTGGCCGGAGCAATAGATTCTATCAGGACTCGCACGTCACATCTTCTCCCGTGGCGGACCATATTCGTGATGAAGGACGGGAAAGGTTTTGTTTCCGACGTTGCGATCCCGACATGTTTTCATTGTTGTGAGAGGCTTGAAATCGATAGGTATTGCTACAGCTCAATTTGGCGGCTTACGGGACACGATGCATATGGAGCTTGGTGAGCAGGAGCCCTGGCACAGAGGGACCAGGATGGGCAAGGTAAATCCATCCACCACGAGAACCTGCCAAACACTTTTGAAATGGTTACGCTGGTTCTGTGCTGAGTGAAATGTTATTCAGAGCGACAGTCACCCTCCTGCCCGGATAGACGATTATGACTACCCATTCGAAGTTGCTTCGAGAGACTGGGCATATGTATCTACTGCCCAACTCTTGGTAAGCCTGCCATATACCAACCAAGGTAAGACTGCTATTTTATTTGGCCGCGGGCGGCCGCATGATTGTCTGTTTGTACCTTCCAATATTCATTGCCTGCAGAACAACTCCCCCCAGATTCACATGGCAATCTGATACCCAGTGATGCAACTTGGACAAGAATCGACCGTCGATTTATAAGCGTCGAGATGCTCCAAAAGGCCGGTGTGCGATATGAAGCGCGAGAGGATTTTGTCGCCATCCTCGGCGCCGTCACGGGCGCACAAGTCGTCGAGCTCGTGCAACATAGCACCGCGATAAGACAGCAGCGCCGGCCGAGACACGGTACACATGTCGCGGAGCCTCATCGGGCGAAATCCCACGAGTCTCAATTCGCGCAGACGAATACGCCAAGAGCTGGAAGGTCTGCGCTTCTCACTGCCGAGTTCGACTCGGACGAAGACGTGAACAGAGGCAGTCGGCCCAAGAGCAGGAACAGGGAAAGATTACAACACCGAACTGTGCGTGGGGGCAGGCAGAGAGACCAGCTAGAAGGCGAAACGTCATGTTCTGTTTCGCGACTGCAAGGCTCGGGGCAGAGTACCTCGAAGATGTTGCCTCGGCAGAGTCTGAAAAGTACAAAGGGTGACCTGGCCGTCAAGACTCTGAGCATCGCTGGATCAGTCGCGAGCGTGATTAGTTTGGCAAAAGAATTTTTGAAGGAGTAATGGGCAGGTTGTAATTTGCACGCGAAAGCAACATGGCTACAGTCAGACATTGAGCTAGGTCAAGGTGCATTTCGTGGCAATGACGTAGCTTTCATGGTCTGAGTTATCATCGTTCATGAGAATCATCCAACTTACCGTATCTCCCTTGAGAACATACCGCACACCAATCAATGGTGTTAATTTTTATTTAACAGTTTTTGGCTTTGAATGCTTTTAAAAGTCTTAAAGGATGGGCATCCAAGACAAGATGGCATCCTCAAGTCAACGGGCCCCTTTCAAGGTAGTGAGATGAACAACGTGTAATATAAATGGAATCGTGGAAGACTTGATCGACTTAATCTGGCCTCATTGGTTGAGAGAGAATAAGCTCTGCGGCAATGGATAAGAATAGTAGCTATACTAGGACATATCAGCACCAGTAGCCCCGTTCACGCGGCATCTACACTGAGTTGATATCGTTATCCATTTCCTCCGATTCGGCCTTCGCGTCCTCAACACACCACAGCCGCCAAAATCCACTTTCACACGGCACCCTCTGCGTGTCGCAGCAGCTGGAGCCCTTCCCTAGCCATTGCTCACATTGTACTCTGTCGTTGCTCTTAAACTTGCCAATGTAGGTCATGTCAAAGGAAGTATCCCCCTCCGCGAAGGAATCGACCGCTCCCACCCGGTGATGATCGACTCCACAAGCCGAAGGCCTGCCAAACCATCCACACTTCCTCCCCTTGTCATGACAAACTTCCCGGCTCTGAGACACGTGCCACTGCCGCCTATCAGCTCTATCCATCTCGTCAAAACTAGGCACAGGGGCGCCTGGCTTGGCATAGTATCCCTTGTCTTGGGTATAAAACTTGTCCTCTCCTGTCCTGTCTGGGCAGTACCATTCGGCCGAGTCGAGATCATAGCACCTGTTCTTGACCGACTTGATCACTGGGTGCGGGTGCTCGTACTTGACGACTTGGTCATCCAAAGTAGGATAGGCTTCGTAATAATGCCAACGCTTGCTAGCATCCATGTACTTGGCAATTTGTTGATCCGGGTCGTATTCGGTATAACCCTGCTCTCCAGCTTTGAGTAGGTACCTTCCGGCCTTGTACCCTATAATTTGAGGCTTTTCCCACAGCGGCAGAATAGGAAGCCTAAATGCCAGCTCGAGATGAAAGGGCGTCTTGCCATCCGAGTCCAGAAGCGGCGTCTCAACCGTGCAATCAATCTTCTCTTTGACCCTTTCGCAGGATTCGTCTTTCCAATGTGCCCATTGAGCGCACTCGAATGGCCCTTCGTCAAAGATGGTCGTGGGGCACTTTTCCGTTGACCAGAGCTTGTCTCCGTTTTCATTCCGCATGATTTCCTCAGTTTTGCAAGCCCCTCTGAGTATGAGTTTCACAGTCCAAGCTTCCGTCCAGCAAGAGTACTTGGCTTCGCATGGGGAAACTGTCCCTTCTGCAATTGTCTTTTCTGAAGTCTTGGTGTTTGAGCGGGAATAGCCGCCGGTGATGGTGATGCCGGCCATGTTGCCAGTGTATGGACTCCAAAATCCCGCGTTGATCTGGCCTCCAATGTTCCAGCCCCAGGTAGTGCTATCGATGTTGATGGTACTCTTTTGTGTGTTGAGCTGCATTGTGCCGCTTCTTTGGTCGTTGTCTACTCGGCGGATCACTTCAGTGTTGATGGCGAGGTCGTAATCTACCTTGCTTATGTCCTCAAACACGGTTACGTTGAGAAAGTCCGTATGAAGGAGATTCCAAAAGTTCCAGTGCGGCTCACATGTTGCCTCTTTGAAGTCGGATTCGTATCGGGCATTGGATAAGATGAGGTTGAGTCCCGGCTTTAGTTTGCTAAGAAGATCTACCTTACGCTCTTCGCTCTGGTCCGGCCTGAGATAGGGACTTGATGATTCTTGGCAGCAAGCTCCTGCCGCAAAAAGGCCGACTGCCAGAGCAGTAAGCTTCATATTGATAAATTGCGGTCAGCAAATAAACTGCTGGCTACAAGATGGTTGTCGTGTGAGGAGCTGAGCAACAAAGCGGCCAATGGGACAATACTTGATAATGTCGTATGGCGCTTTGTCGAGAGAGCGCCGTGCATACTATATAGCAGGTCAAAATCAGCAGCGAGGACTATAGCTGGAGGTTGGGTTTGCATGTAACCTGCTCATGTGTGTAATCATTCTCATCTACCGATACCTATGACGTGGAAGCATATTACGTTCATTGTATGATACATGACTCAGGTCTCGGCAAGCCCTAATTAATACATGTCACTCAGCAAGGATATCGATCACAAGACTTACTGGTAGTGGCGTTACTAATGGAGACGTACTGTCGCTTGCAGGGGGGTCGATGGATTCAGAAGCTTGTCAATAGCTTCGCATAACTATTAGTCCCCGCCAAAGTAACCCAACTGGCCTGATTATGCTTAATTTTTAATAGAATAGTGGAAATCACAGGCTTTTCTTTTGTTATGCGAAATTTGGAAGGATTCCGATTCCAAACCTACTACAATAATACCAATACCTTTAATATGAGTCTCATTAATTGCATGAAGTAATCCCATATATGGCTAGTTTTTGACCTTGCGGGAATGTTATCGCCTGTGATATAGACTAATGAGTTGTATCTGGAAATCATTGAGACGGACTATCAAGTATTTAAGTTGCTCTCCCCGTGAATCATCTGGTGTAGTAACCCATCCATGATTTTCTTGATTCTTGTCCGTAGTGACCAAGAGCCCCTCGACAGTTAATTTATTTCTACACATTACTTGCGCCACGACACAAAGTTTTCGATATGCGTGCCCTTTTGGCCGTATCGCTTTACCTCTGCCTAAGGGGCAGCGCGGCCCCTGTTTCTCTTCTTGAGAGGGCCGTTCCCGTCGGACACGAGGGGCCGCCCTACGAGGTAGGGGGAGGAGGAGCCCATCTGCCTCTGGAGGTCAACGTACCATTCGAGATAGACTTGCTCCCCGATGGAGAAAGACTGCCGATAGAGAACCCTGAGACGACGTCGCCCGAGGGGCTGCCACCGGCTGAAGGCGAATTGGGAAATCAGATACCAGGGGAACATACTCCTGAAATGCCTGTACCAGAGGGACTGCCACCGGCTGAAGGCAACGGACCGCAACTACCGGGCGTTGAGAATCCTGAGACGTCCGTATCCGGAGGAGCTGAAGGGCTCCCACCGCCCGCGAGCGAAGCACCACAGGAACGACCATCCGTATGGAAGGGCAAGTCGCTCGAGGATATCAAAACTTTCTGGCTTAATGGACTCCCAGAAACCAGAGTGGCCAATTGGGAAAACAGTCCTGTGCATGAGATATGGAACTTGTTGAGCAGGGAAGAACGATTTTCGCTTGTATTCGAAAACCCCGATGCCAAAAAGTGGCCGAACTTGACGCCCGAGCAAAGATTGTACCTCTGGCAAGAGAGGCCTATTTTGAAGGCAAGAGACAACCAGAGACTGTGGGCACTGTTGACGCCAGAACAGCGCGAAACGCATTGGAAACAGGACCCCAAGCGATGGCAGAACCTGACGCCCCAAGACCAAGAGACAGTTGTTCAATCTGTTCGTCAGAACCCAATTTTCGAAGGCTTGGCGAACGAGGAAATACGACGAATCGTCGCAAAGATAGACAAACTGGCGCCAAAGGACCGTCTGGCTCTATCTAACTCCAGGATCGAGAAGATGAAAGAGGCAGTCATAGAGGCGCTTGCTAAAGAGAGTAAGCAGCTTGCAACAGAAGCGGGAAAAGCAGCCACGGCAGAGGAAGAAGAAAATTCAGTGGGCCGCTAGACTACTAGCATTTCCTCTTTGGAATTCTGAAAGGTTTATCTTACAATATTGGAGATTACCTCCAGGATCCGTACCATCTGGACAGAAGTCATTCTACTAGAGAGGGAATATGGCTATGGTAGGCCTGCAATCGGTGCTGCGTTAGCTTGGTGAATAGAAGGGTAATGCTTGTGGTAGTTGGAAATAATAAAGACTAATTTACCCTTGATATAAAGTATCCCTTGTTACGCAGTAATTGATATACTCAACTCAAGGTCTGGAAATAGCCACCGGCCAGTTGTCAATAACTTGCAACATCTGTACTCCGCACGAAGTACGAATTCGCCGCTTACAAGTATGATATGTCCAAGGTGACCTGTCAAGTTCAATGCCCGATTCAAGACAGTGACATGCTTGCAAGGTGATTGCATTCTAGAGTCTGTGATTTCTGTATGGTCCCACTTCTGTACGTTACAGTACGTAAGAAACCAAGTGTCTCTTGTCGCCCACTTCAGGCATCATGTCTTGCCCGTGGGTGTTCCTGTCTGGTTACATTGAACCCACTGTGCTACGTGACAGGGCACATTTCAGCGTTTGTTGGGCATGCCGAGCTCATGAGTTAACCGGAGATGCGGAAGAACGTGCAATACAGCATCAACCGTTTTATTAATCTCATATTATGCCATTACGTTGCGCAGGCTTCAATTCTCCGATTGGGGCTCACATAGTTTGATGGATCACGAATGACTTGCTGCTTCGGGATTTGTATATTATTATTGACCACGAAGAACTAGACGTCTCGAAGCTGGTGTGAGCAATTCTAGTTGCTAGCGTGCCATCGCAATGAATTCCCTATGAGTGGTGTTGCTTCCATCCTCATTTACAGGCTGGAAGCACACAGACTGCGGAGGGTGTTTGTTGCGTCTTGAAAACAGCCCCGTACTATTACAGCGTTGCATTGGCTTGGACGGTGACATGACCTTTTGTGTCATCATTAGGCTGAGTCTACATCGGAAGACTTATTGCAGGTTTAATGTCCCGATAAGATTCTAAATATATGTGGATCTCCTTGCGCCGTCGGCTGCTTTCGTACAAATTCAGCAGAAGCATACAGTCGTGCAGCTAATTGAATGTGTTTATTGACCGTAATGAGTGTAGGTTCTCTAATAGAAGATGCGAGTATAATGAGTAAACGCAGAATATCGTGCCTCTCCCCCAATATACCCATCCCCGTTATTCTCCTGAAAATGCCAGCATCAAATGCTTTCGTAAGACACGGCACAAGCTTCACAACAACAAATGAACGCCATATAAAATGACGTTGGAGTCAGAAATGAAAAAATATAACCAATACATAAACATCACTAGCCAAACACTTGTTGACAAGATGATTTATTGGCCGTTTCGTAGCTTGGGACGAATTCCTATTCAAAGACTCTCCTTTTCCTTATCCTTGCTTTTATCAGCACACTTGTAGCCCTGGTGCTAGCTGCAATAGCCCGAGCAGCAGCTAACATTGAATTTGCACTCTAATCAAGAATTAGGACAATACAAATACAGAGACGTCAGTTGATACGTACTCGTGCCATTGGGTATACAATTTGGCCACACGGCTGGATCATCAGAACCTGTCATGACGTTGATCACAACGGCAGCCTGAGTAGACGGCTTGGTTTCTTCCTCCGGGACTTTCACAGAAACAAGGACTTCTTCATTTTCGTATTTGAAGAATTGAGGCGCAGCAAGCGCGGCCGTGGCAAAAGCTAGAAGGACAGAATTCTTGGCGAGCATGATGGGCTTCTAGATGGACTGAAATGCTGACGGCTGCTGAATCATATATAATTGAGCGGATTAAAGTATAAAGACTTGATGAACTGATTTAGTGTCCAGGCTGAAGAAGTAATTGGGAGTCAGTTGTGGTTTATATAGTTGAGCGTGAGGCGGGGCCTAGAGGCCATGTCAATCATGTCCAAGAATTCCTCTCCATACGGAAAGACTGATATTAAAGAGTCCGGTGTACTCCGTAGGTTGCAAATGTTGCCACATCGTCGATTATCAAGACATGCATCACCCGCTACCTGGGGAGTGAACATGACATTTCGTATTCTTTATCCTCTATCACAGACTTTTGTCAAATCTTTGCAGTTGACTTGTCTCATCTCACAAGCTTTCGTGTGGTCAAATGACAGTTGTCGCTCATCGTCCCCGTGATGATCCCATCACACTGCATTCTGAGAATCCGCAGGGGGGTTAGGTTAGCGGGCTCGATTGTGCCAAATTTTTGAAAAATTGACGAGACGATTCATCTTGTAAAGTCATAGTATCATCAGATACAAATACATGTTTCATAGATGAAGACCAAATCGTACTCCTGTTTTGTTAGAGTGACATTGCAGAAATACCTGACACTCCCTTGAATGAGCGACTCGATCTCGACAATAGCGGTGTTTGTTTTTGTCTCCATGGTCTGATGACCTGAGTAAGAAATGCATGAACGCAGCAGTAAAGCCGACGGAGCTGCAGCATGTATGTATCTTTCAGGTGGGATGCATGCATATTGGAGAGACATGCAGCAGGGCAGACTCGACATTTGATACGTTATCTGCAATAATTGCTCGAATACCAGCCTCTCTACGGAGTACTCTGTGTGTGTGAAATCGACCACCCTGTCCCACAATCATGATTCATCAAGGCATCGTGGCCGCTTTCATTCCCTGATATGTCTCATTCCAATTCACCTTTTCTCGCCGCTGCGCCATTGCTAACGTTTCCTCTCCATCACAAGCACGTCTTTTGTAATGTTAATTGGTTAGCCAAAGTCACCAGCTTCGTCGCAGCAGGGCAAGACATACGTTCTGACTGCGTGGAGCAAAGTGCGCAGCCAACCATGTGCACATTCCGGCGAATATCCCGGCAGTAATACGGAGTACTCCGCATGCTCTTTCATCGCACTTTAGAAACCGGGCTCTTTTCTTGAATGTGGTTTTCTCTGACATCTAGTTTCTTCTTGGATCAGTCATCGCTGGCTACATCACTCACTCGACACAGTAACCGGATGGAAGCTCCCGACTATACAACAAATCCTGCTAGGCTGCCTCCTTACACAGCGCATTTTTGCTATTGGTCACAGTCCGCAGTGGCAATGAAAGTCAATACGAAGGCGAATGTGTGGAGGAGTGGAGTGAACATGCGTCGCATGTCCAATGGTCAGGATATCGCCCGTCGGCGCGCCCGCAGTGTCTCCAGCGGCGTTGCTTACTGTGACGTCTACTTCAGCCAGCCACATCTGATGAATTGTGATGAAGGATGCGGGGAAGATATCAAAACCCGAAAACACTCTCTCAAGAACCCGGAGCACAGTTCAGGAGTCTCATGGCCTGATCGCGTGGACAATCGGCCTGACTAGCTGCATCCAGGAATCCTGACAACCGGCGCTTTTTTAATAACGTGTGTAACGAATTGTTTGTACTTTAATAGTGAATGGATGTTTGCAGGGCAATGGAGAAACGAAACCAGCGCTAACTAATCAAGAAGATTGGCGGACAAACAGCATTTCATGCCAACGATACACAAGCCATCGACAACAAAGAACCAGCAACAGCAATTAACAAATTATTTCGTCTTTAGAAATTTGCCGATCACAGACGAATTTTCTTACGTAGGTTATCGACTAACAAGTTATAACCTTTTGAACGAAACTTATATTATTTACAGGCATATGTATTACCTGTCAGGCCGCCAGCGTCCTGCACTGTATTATTCCTCCTTCTCGCCCCCTTTAGGCGCTTCCTTTCCCTCTTCGCATTTTTTCTTATCCTCCTCAGCTTTCTTCTCAGCTTCCTCCGCCTCCCGTTTCGCATTCTCGGCTTCCGTCTTAGCCTCCTCGACCTCCTTGTTACCCTCTTCAACAGCCTTCTTCATATCTTCAGCCACCTTCTCAGACTGTTGGACGTTGCTCTCGTCCAATTTGGCCTTGTTCTCGAATTCCTCAGCCTGTTTCTCGGCATCTTCGGCTCTCTTCTTGGCAACTTCGACCATTTGCTCGCTTTCCTTGACCTTGGCCTCGGCCTCCTGAACCTTTACTTCAGCTTCCTTGACTCTCTGCTCAGCCTCTTCAGCCTCCTTCTCTGCTAGTTGGGCCTCGGTCTTGCTTTCTTGGGCCTTCTTTTCGTCCTCCTCGACTACCTTTTTTCCTTCTTCGACAACTTTTTCAGCCTCGGTAGCCTTTTTCTCATTCTCTTGGACCTTTGCCTCACTTTCTTGTGCTTTCTTCTCAGCCTCTTCGGCCTTTTTCTTGGCCTCCTCTACTTTCTCCTCAGAGACCTTTGCATTTTCTTCACACGCCTCATTGGCCTGCCCGGCTTCACCTTCAGCGCGGGCAAAGAAACGTGCCGCGATGATATTACCCATGGAGCTTGTGGCTCGGCCCTGTGCATAATTATGGCTGTTAGCTATTTTTGGTGTCATAGTGTGCCTCAGCTGATGTTGGTTTTTTCTTACCGTAATAAGATTATCCGCCGCTGGGTTCATTCTGACAGCTACACAACGTTTAGCGATTCTCTCATCTTTTCTCGATGCAGCTTGTGTTAAAACGTACATGGATGAGACCCGGCCTTGCCCATTGCCAAGGGAGTGGCAGAAGCGAGCGGTCCTGAGACGGCGACGACATAGACGAGAGCCTGATTGAACCTCATAGTGCTCGTGTTAAGGAATTATGAATGCTAGTTTATTATGGGACGAAATGTACTAGGTATGACCAGCAATAAGTTTAAGATTAGAAAGACTTGGCGATATGACAAAATTGGGTCGGTAGACATGGCCGAGAATTTATAGAGGTCTTGACAATCGAAGCTTCTTCATCCCTATGACTCGTACTTTACACAAGACTGTTCAAATTATCTCTCTCTGAGAACGGGGCTTGAATCTCGCAGTGCATTTAAGACTATTCTTGTTAGATCAGCAAAGGTCAAACTAGTGAATGACATATTGTGTACTAAGGGAAAGCTTCCAATTAAGCTTGATAAAGCGACATTGTAGAAGCATCTAGCGTAATTAGTGCGGCGGTAGTGGCACAAGCCCTGTGTATCGAATTGGCGTTTCGCGTAGTGAGGCGGCGTCTAGTTCTCCAAGTCGCAACGGAAATGAAGCCGATCGTCAATTCCGATGGGGTCCGGAGAATTAGAAGGGCGCAACCTGGGACATGAACGAGTACAAGGATCTCGGATCGGAGAATTCCGTGCCGTGTTTGCCGTGGTGGAGAGGGATTACAAGGATGTGGAAAGCTGATGTTAACATCTTGAAACAAGCTGAAGCACTTGGCGGCTATATTTAGAGGCATCAAGTTAAGATGGTCTGGAACGCATCAATGGCCGTCCACTGTTCTAGCCGTTTTTATGTGTAGCGTCTACCCCGCCTATCTGGAACTTGCAACAGATTCTTCGAGGAGTGAATCAACAAAGTTGAGTTGACTCCCAAGGTGAGCCCAATGCATGGCCATTAGCGATGCAGGGATTTCGCAGTTTGAGCTAGCCGCAGTTTTGCGCGCTCAGCTTCTGGATGAGGATACTGCATTTATAGGTTAGGAGAATATGATGAAATATCCAGTTATTGTAATAGTCTGTAATTAAACCGTTCCGGTTTAGTAGGCTGGGCGGCTTCGGCCGTCGTTTGGTGGAAGCTAGCATAGTGTCAAATTTGTCACGATTGTTGCAAAATAAAAGAACTAAAAAGAAAATCCCAAGGTCCACAACAAGTACAACATGCATGATACGTAGGAGCTCATTACGGGCTTACCTTTAATGGATTGAATGCTCCGGAGAGGTTAGTAGTGCGGTCGATCAATTAATGTCAATGTCATGAATGAAAGCCAAGGCCGCACGGATGGCAGATGTAAGGGACATTCAGCCGTTGGACTGATGCTGCGAGTCTTTCTGGTCAATGACTTGATTGTCATAACTAAGAAACCATGATGACTTCTCGCCGCCTGTTCAGAATGCATACCTTCTTTTCAGTAATCGCTATTGCCGAAAGGATGGGAAGAGAGCAGAAGGAAAATGTTCCGAGTGTAAGCCGAGCGTTGAGGATTCCTCATCCGGTTCTTCACTCACGCCGCATAACCCAGCGAACCCCCTCATGGGTATGTCGTTAAACAGCATCCGCTGCACATGTATGTAGGAACAAGGGAGGGCAAGTCTAAGCTACAAACCCTGTCTCATTTACTCATGGCTGAATGTTGGCACAACTTCCTCTCCCTGAGTAATGATGCTACTAGCTTGCTCGGAGATTTCATCGCTCTGCCGCATCATTATCAAGGCATTTAAGCAAGTCGAACAGCAGGATTCGCTCTTCACGAATGCGCTTCCCAACTTCTCGGGGGCTTGGACAGCTTTGGCCGTACGCGCTCCTCAGGATGTTATCATAAGGATTCTATCATAAGAAGAAAATTCATTGCTAGTCATGCTTGCCCGGTTGAGGTTTAAGCCGCGGGAATCCTTCCCTCACATGGTATACAAGGCCGACGCTGCATCAGACATTACACCTCCCGAAGGAGGCTTCATCAGGTCTGCTATTTCTGACATTGGCTTTTCTGGAAACACCTCTCACCACTTTCAGACCTGGAACTCCTGCAGGTGAGCCGTACAAGTCTCGTCTCTTAGCAGATCCGGCATCAATAGTCCGTATTGGCTGGAAAAGTTAAGCGAAGGGATATAAGCAAATTAACGGCAGTCCCCTGTAACACCCGTGGCATTCTCCCTATAAGCATGAAACAGCGGTTGAAAAAAACCAGTGGTCTTTTCTCTCTGAATATAGAGCCGCGATTTTCACATCTTCGGGAATATCTCACATTAGCTTGTAGACTTGCTTCAGGATTTTGTCTGAACACTCCATCTCAACAGTCAAATTTCACAATTTTTCTCACAAATAAGGATATTATTCTTTACGAACACAGTTGTATTTATAAGAAGTAGTTCTTTGTGGTTCAATAAGGATGGGTGTTAACTGTTCAGTTGTTACACGGTTAGCACACAACAAAGGGCGTTGGGCCAACAAAGGTTACACAACAACAGAAGCAACCATCACGAGGCCCGAAGTCGGTCACAAGTAAGTGCTGCCTCAGGCACAAGCCCTCATCGATTCTTGTATTTATTTTTTGCCCCTTGAGGCCTCGTCCAAAACCAAGGACCTTTGACAACCCACAGTCGATTATTATAGTTTGAATTGAACCCTCAGTTCCAAGCCCAGTTACCCTGCCCTTGTCACATCAGTGATGAGTCATCAAAACCTGGTCCGAAGATTTGCCGCATTGTTCTCCACCACAGCTGAAGGCATGACTGGTCACACAAATCAAGGCCGTGGAAGAAATATCAGTAAAAAATCGACCCAATCGGTTGGCTCTTGATTGTTTGAGGAATCTAGATGCTACGAGACGTGGCGCTTGAGCACATACCAATCCATCATGGCCGGCAGTACGCTGTTTATGACGCCGGAGGAGTCGGTGCGTGTGCAAAAGACAGTTCAGGATCTAAGACGGAAATGTCAAGAGGAAAAGGGCCAACGACGGGAGCCCAATGACGCAAAATCTTTGATCCAACAAGCGACTGGCTCGTCCTTGATGGAAGACATGGCGTCGTCCCTGTTCGGCCTGTCACAGCAACGGAACAGCCCGGATACCATGCCGGCATATGCGGTCGGATCGCCGTACCTACCGTGCACGACGGCATTGTCGGACCTGAAGCCCATGGGACTGTCAGATCTGTGTATGGAGACGCACCATCGCGGGCATGTTCTCAAAGTGCGCCGTGCATCCCCCGTGGTCGCATTGAAGGCGTCCTCGTGGGCGGTTGTGCAGGGACAGTCAGTTGACGATGTAGAGAGGATCGAGCTTTTCTTGCACAAGTCCAAGTACGGTCAGGAACTTCTAGACTTGGGCTCCGTCTTTCTAGTCAAGGAGCCATATTACACGCTCAACAGCCAGGGGGAGCCTGTAATCCGCATTGATCATCCGTCAGACCTTGTTATTTCCACATATAGCGATGGTCCAGAGTCATGGCGCAATACGGAAAGTGATTCAGTGTCCACAGCCAGGACGGCTGTAATGTGCAAGGAGGAAGGGAACGCTGCACTTGGGAAGAAAGACTTTCCGCGGGCCCATGCCCGCTATACCGAAGGTTTGAGTCACATTGGAAAAGATGATGAGGCCAGCAATACCTTGAGCAACGACCTCCACCGGAACCGAGCCTACATCAACCTTCTGCTTCAGCGCTTTGAGGAGGCAAGGTCTGATGCACTCTCATCTCTGACCCATAGCGATGGCCCGGACGAGAAGCTTTTGGATGCAAAGGCCTACTACCGTGCTGGCACCGCGGCCTACAGTCTAGGCGATTTCGAGGATGCAAAACGTTTCTTTGACGAACAGCTAAAACTGGAGCCCGATAACCGCTTGGCACAGATCAACTTGAGGCGAATCAACAAGCGCATCCAAGAGCAAACCGCTGGCGTATACGACTTGAGCAAGATTGTTAGCAACCTGCCCAAGACTCAGGGGCGGGCCGACGCGGCAAGCTTCAACGGCGACACCGAGGTCAAGGAGAGCCCTGGAGCTGGTCGCGGTCTGTTCGCCAGACGTGATTTTCAGCCTGGCGAGACCATCATGTGCGAGAAGGCCTTCTGCGTTGTTTGGGGCCACGAGCCCGGGGCATTTTCCACCCTCACATGCGATGTCCGGGATGACGCCGCCATCCGCGTCTTCCCTGCTGGCTTGCACAAAGCCGTGGTGCAGAACCTGCTGAACAATCCCTCGCAGGCTCACAAGGTCCTGGATCTCTTCAGCGACTACAAGGGTCTCGGCGGCAAACCCCTCGAGCAAGACGGCAACCCCGTAATTGACACTTTCCAGATCCACGACATTGTCCAACGGAACGCCTTCGGTCCTGGTCAACAAACCGAGGACGAAGATGTCACAAACGCCAGCACAGGACTCTGGGTGCGTGCAGCATATATCAACCACTCTTGCGTCTCAAACGCCAAGAAGGACTACGTGGGCGACCTGATGCTCCTCCGTGCTACCCGTCGGATCGCCGCTGGCGAGGAGATAACACACAGCTATGACGAGTCGAGCGGCTACGACTCGAGGACGGCAGCCATCCAAAGGACATGGGGGTTCAAATGCCACTGTGCGCTTTGCGCAGCAGAGGAGGCGGATGGACCGGCTTTGCGGAAACAGCGGTTGGAGCTCGAAAATGAGGCGAATGCATTGTTGCAAAAGGAAAATCCATCCGGGGCAAACAGGATATCAATAAACAGGGCGAAACGGCTCCAACAGTCGCTCAAGGACACCTACAATGATAAAAGATACAAGGGTCTGCCTCGTCGAGCGATGAGCGGGCTGGAACAGTGGCTCAAGACAGCACTTGCCAGGTAGCTTCAATGTTTCGATGGCATGATAGTTTCGGGGAAGCCACAGTGTTTCGAGCGCAGGAATGTGCATAAACGATAGACATTCGATGGAGGGGAGAACCAGAAACGTCACATGTGCTGCACCGAAGATTCAGCTTTTCCTGCGACGGGCAGCACGATGGCTATGGTGTAGATCTACAGTCTCATGCCCTTCTCCAGACGAGCACAGCGCGAGGCGTAACGAACGGGCGGTGATGGTCCGACTAGCAGCAACGTCCTAGTTGATTCTATCTTGTTTGCCCGAGAAAAAGGATGATGTACTTCTGGATATCCCTCTACCTTGAGGTTTTATTACGACTTGGCTGTGCAACAACGGGCAGCCGGCCTGCCGAGGCCAACACGGAATCCGTACACAGCAAGAAAAAATGCACGGTATACAAGGTATTTCTGGCTCGCGGTCGCCTAAGCTATTAGGTAGCCGGCCGGCCTGTTAGGCCGGTCTGGATACGCGGTAGGGTTGCGACGTTTGAGTTAACCTGTATGCCGTGCATTTTTGCCCGGTGTGTACGGATTCCGTGTTGGCCTCGGCAGGCTGGGTGTATCGTGAAGGACCACAAGGAGGTCAAGAGGTGGTATCAGGCTGTCAAGGATAAAAGCCCAGGGCAGTAATGACCTAGATGACTGATAGGTCAAAGGTCGGGGCGCTAAAATGAATTCCCCAAGGACCTTTTGAACCCAAAAGACGACTATCAGATTGAATTTGAAGTCTTTCACAGGCCCTCATTGAGCCCTTTTCACATCTTTGAATACTAGTCACTCTAGAGCTATGCAAAAATGATGAAATTCCTTTCGTAGTATCCCAATGGTAGCACGTCAATCAAAGCTATAGCCATGGAGGCTCTCTATGGGAGGCTTTCTACCATTCCCTCCTATTTCAGGTAATCATTTTCTACATAAAACCTCCAGTCTGTGGCATTGCGTCTTGTAATTATTCTTCTGCGAGTTTGTCGAGCACGGCATTACACTAGAGGTGCTCCTGCTGTGACAAGGACTTCTGATGAGGGCTTGTGAATAGCAGCAAATTAATCGAATAGTTTTCATTGGGTTCAAAAGGTTCTTGGGGAAGTTAATCCAGGACGCCGACCTGTGGCTACACCCTAGGACATTATCCTTGAATCAAGTCCAAACCCTCTACCAAGCCCTTGTCACACGTGTTCTCTATATCGTGATTAATATGAGGCAGTCAGCGGCCAACCTATGGGTGTAAAATTGGGCAGGCAAGCAATTCTGTGTTATTCTAAACAAGTGTAGTTCTATTGCTCAGCCATGACAGATCCGCTGGCTGAATGTTCCCCCTGATGCCGCCAAAGTACTCCCGCAAACGCTCAGCGACCCATTCCGGGTTTTCATCGGCGATCCAATGTCCAGATTTAGGCGTAATATCTACCGTCAAGTTGGACGCAACAGGACCCCATACCTCCCGTATCGTGCTCTCAGGAGCAAAGCTAGCTTCTGCCCCAATCGCAATCATTGGCATCTGCAAAGGTGCGTCCCGTAGCACCTCGGTGAAAAATTTGTTGTCTGCTCTCACGCTCGCAGTAGAAAAGGGCCCCAGCATGCTGCGCAGGAAGCCTGGCTTGCTAATGCTGCTGGCGTAGCGTTGCAGTACCGGCTCCGGTATGGCTTCGTTGCCCGAGTAGCTTTGATGGTAAAAGTACCAGGCCAGCATTTCCTTCTCCTTTCCTCGGATGAAAAACTCAGCCGCATCCGGTACGCTAAAGAAGGCAAGTTGCCAATTAGAGTATAGATCCCACGTTGATGACGGACAGCTGCTTTCCTCGTAGCCGAATCCAGGGAGCAAATACTCGGAAACGCCCAGAGCAGGCACCAGACTTGGATGCTGGGCAGCAAGAGCAACGGCGGGACCGGAACCTTTGTCGTGGGAGAAGACTAAAGTCTGGTTGATTTTCAGAAAGTCAAGAAGCCCTTTCAGGTCGCCTGCCATGGCCTCGGAGCTGTAGTTGTTGTCTTCCGGGATTGAGCTATCGCCCGTACCGCGGTTGTCGGGAGCAATGACGGTGTACTGGTTCGCCAGGATGGGACCAATCGTGCGCCACGTATACTATATTGAATCGTCAACACCTGCTCTGCAAAGATTCCCTCGTACACGTACGCTATGCTGAGGGTTGCCGTGGACAAGTAGCATCGGCGGGCCAGACCCCGCGTATCGAAAATGTATGCTCACGTCGTCCAACTGAACGCGACCGTGCGACCAGCTATCAAAAGGTTGCGTGGCGCCATTTGCGGATGCGGTAACAAAGGTATTGAGAGCCGCCAAGGCTAGCGTTGAGACAGTCCGCACAGTCATGGTGTGTTTTAAGCTTATTACAAAGTGAAATCTATACGTTGGACAGGCTACTTGAATGGTACAATGGGCCTATTATTATAGCGCGGGGGCATCTCTTGTGGATGGCTTCTTTACAAATAGCCTTATAGCCAAGGGGATACGGTGACGCATTCATCGGAGGAGAATACAACGTAAGCCTGATAAATGCTTCACCAGCCTGTCAAGACGGGCCTCGCTCGGAACTCCAACATTGACTTTGAAATTCTAGAACAAATAGTGGGCTTGATGGAGATGAATGCAACGTCGATTTGTCAGAATATGCAAGATATCTACTGCTTGAATCTCAGGCAATGCCCCTCTTGGTGTCTTTGGCAATCGACCCCGCCAGATTGACTCTTCTCCGGCCTGGGATATTCATAAAGTACAGCTCCCATTTGGCACGCTAAAATATAGCTCCGAGTAGTGAATCTCTAGTCAGGCGGACCGCCCGGCATGTCCACCACAACGCGCTCCTCTAGCCAATAAGCTTCAGTTCCGATCCGATATAGTACAGAAGCCAGGTCTCCAATGTTTCAACGAATAAACGTCGAGTCCGAAATTCCAGTGCCCATCTGATACTACTGCGCTGCTTAAACAAAGCACGCACAAACTAAACAAACTCTAATTTCATGGATGAATACGAAAATTGAGGCATAAATAAGCCGCCAAGAAACTCTTTATCTTGTTTATAAGAATTATAGAGCATTGACTAATCCGGGGACGGGTTGTCTTTGGGTAACGTAGCTCCAAAGAGCAAACACCATGTATCACGATCTGAAATACTTATTATAAAATAAACCACCGGGATATTTTCGACCAAGAACAAAATAACAGTTCAAGCAACTCATAGAATTCACTGAAAAGAAAGAAAAAAATCTGCCGACACCATGTTGCGTCTACATCATTTCTTTTCCTTGCTGCTCGTGTGGTATCCGGCTTGCACGGTTGGCTTGCTCACCCCAACGGATCGCTTCTCAATTTTTGAACAACTCTCATTGCACCAGTCATACATTGACCACAGCCTCACTTGCGACAATGCAAAGCTCTATGCTTCGCTGTACTGGCCCGAAGGAAGTTTCCGCGTCATTGGTACACGCGCGCCTCCCTCGATTTGCTGATGCTCGGCAGAAAGCTAACAAGTACCTAGATCCCAACCGCGATGCCATCATGACCGGCGAACGAGAGATCCGATCAAACTATGACTACGCGCACTCTGTCTTCCCGCTTTCGCGGTGGCGCCACTCGGTGGGCGCTTTCGAGATATCCGATGGCCCGTTGCCAAACTATCCCTCGCCGCCATCCAATACCAGTGCCGGGGGGAATGAGCGGGCTTACGTGCACTGGAACTGGAGAGTCGACTGGAGAGCCAACACTACGGGCGTCGTGAGCACAGGAACATACGACGACGTTTTTGAGAAGAGAAATGGAGAATGGAAGGTTCTGGCCAAGGTGAGCCGGGATGATGCCAACTGGCCGCTTTACTTGTTTGAGCCGTACGTTGTTAGTCAGGCGGAAACATATCAGAGCAGCTGTGGCGACACAAGTCTTTGAATGCAGCCAACGTCGAGACTGGGTTGTGGTATTGTTCCCGGCGGCTATAGAGTATAGCCGTGGAACTGGCCCTGGTGGGGGGGAATATGCCAGTTTTATAACTGCAAAGACGTGATTTCAACTAGAAGATATGATTTGACCATCTGGTTGACTTTGAATATGACACAAGTTGTACACTTGACCAGTGTGACGACGGTTATCGGGTAATTACCATATTTCTGAGGGTCATTCGAATGGCTGTGTGACAGGGGCTCTGTGAGGGCTTTGAGAAGTAACTTGGTTTATCTGATGATATTCTATGATATTCAAGGTCCTTGGTTTTTTCAGGGCCAGATGAGCAAGGAGCTCCATTTATACAAGAAGCGAACGATGCACGTCAACCTTGTGTTACTCCTGATGCGACTCCCACTGCCTGTCGCCATTCTCAGGCAGGCAACACAAGTTGCACAGTCATCAACGGGCATTAAGGCTATAGTATAGGGCAAGTATACGCCAGCAGCCGATTGCTTGCCCCAGAACCATGGGAATGCCCCATGGACTCATGATTCATGAAACACCTGGGGTATCCCCGCCGCATAAATCACGTCTTCACAGCCGCCTCCACGTGGTGTGTCCCTCGGCCCCGATTCGGCGTTGGAACGCGCCAGACGCCACCGCGGAGAGAAGGGAGCTGCGAACGACGGCCGAGAGAAAGCATCCATGATGCATTGCCCGCGGTAGCATACAGGCTGGGTACAGGCAAGACTTGGAGTCACAGCCCAGGCGCCCCTTGAGCCAAGACAGCGCTGGCGCTTGGAGCGGTGATGCGCAGCGACAGACACATTGACGGCTTGGCAGGCACAGAACATTGAAGCCAATAGCCGATGCCTGATGGCGTGTCCTTGTGTTGGCGCGCGGGACACGAATGCCGCGGGAGACAATTTAAGGGACCAGAAAAGGGCGAGACAAGGTTACGTGTTCGCCCCGTCCGACCCAGGTTTCAGTTGTATCCAGGTATAGCACGGCGAGCAAGGAGCGCAAGCGGACTGATGAAGCAAGATTCAATGTTGAATCAAAAGAGTCAAGACCATCCATGTCAGGCCCGGGCCGGGTTGGGAATGGAGACGCCAGCTGGCCGGCCTGCTAAGCCACGCGCGCCAAGACAAGATGGACGAACCTCAGCCTGGTCCATCTGCCAAGCACTCCAGATGTTGGCTTGCGGCAATTACACGCGCCAATCGCCTTGTCTACCAACATCAATTGATGCAATATTGACCCATTTGGCCGTCTCCACCCGGCATCAATTGATCCGGCTGGCCACCCGCAACCCGCCTCCCGCCTCCCGCCTCCCGCCTCCCTCACGGCCGACTGGCTCTTGAGTCTTCGGACCTCGAGCCACATGGGAAAGCCCGACGATGAGTCAACCACCCGAACCCCAAGCCGTGGCCAAGGAGCTGCTGTCGTGGATTGGCTTCGAGCTCATCTCCTGCAACACACTCCAGACCCTCTGGGCGGGATACGGACACATTTGCGCCATCCGCTGCCGTCCGCTGCCGTCTGCGGCGCCGGCCGAGACCACACGCGCCACACACTCTCTCATCCTGAAGCTCGTGTCGCCGCCTCGCGGCCGCAAAGACGAGGGCCATCTGCGCAAAGTCCTGAGTTACCAGGTAGAACAGCACTTTTACGACCACGTCGCTCCCACGCTGCGCGGACTCCCACTGGCAGAGTGTCTGGTGTCCACGTCAAAGTTCCCACACAAGGCCGCCGCCGCCGGCCTGCAACATGTGACGGCTTCGGTGTTGACGGATCTGCGACTCGACTATCCGGTTGCAGGGGAAAAGCGGACGGCCCTGTCCCCAAGGCAGGTCCACGCCGCCCTGGGCTGGCTGTCTCGCTTCCACGGCAGCTACTGGACGTCGCCGAGGCCTGATGCGCAGAGCCTGATTCTCCCGCCGCTCGAGGAGGACAAAGCGAGACAGCAGCAGCCGGGCAACTCGTCGGCCAGAAGAGGGCTGTGGCTCAACGGGGGGTATACATATCTCGCTACCCGGCGGAGCGAGTACAATGCCCTAGCGCAAGATGGCGGCTCGGAATGGTCCCAGACGTTTTGTCAGGCCGTCGAGGGCACGTCAATGTCGGTTGCTGAACTGGCCGCCTTCTTTTTGACACCGACGGGCCGGGACTTTGAGACATATCTCCATGGGGATGTAAAGTCGGAGAACTTGTTCTCTACCGAAAGTGGAGACGAGGTCGCTTTCTTCGACTTTCAATATACCGGCCTGGGGCTCGGGGTTTGCGACCTGGCCAAGCTCTTTACCTGCTCGGTGCCTGTGGAAATGCTGACAGCCTCGACGGGCGAGCCTCGTCGCTTGACAATGGGCGCCGGGGAGCGCCATCTCCTGCTCCAGTATCGCCGGGAACTGCTCCAGGGGGGAGGTGTTATACATGCACCGGTATATGACTGGATCGAGTTCCAGCGGCACTGGGAGACTGCCTTGGTTGACTGGTGCAGGTTCCAGGCATCGTGGGGTTTCTGGGGAAATACGACGTGGCTGCAGGCTAGGGTGCGCTCCATTCTACACGAGGGCGAGTGGCTATGGTGGATCAACAACGCGAGGCGATGCGGCTTAGAGAAGAGCAGATAGACTTGGCCTTTTTTGCTAGACCGGACACATGGATACCAACTTGGGCTTCTGCGAATTCAGTACTTGACGAGCCATGTATTCCATGAGTAGAATCCACGATTGGCTCCTCAATCTATCCACTCAGTCGTCGGCGGTGATTTGCAATTTCTAATGGCTCTTGGCCTCTGTAGGTCGCAGCGGGGGCTGTTTGTGTGCATACGTCACCGAGGGATCGGGTTCAACAGACTGGTTGTTATTCATGTCGTTATCTTCTGGCTAGGTGGACCGTGGTCCCCTTTTATCTCTTTAGTTGCCGGCAGCTAAAGAGATGGTGTTGAGCCAGCTGACAAGGCCGGTCTCACTACCCCTTTCGGCCCCTCCCGACAACGGCGGCCAATCGGGGCTCTCGCATCGGGCCGAGGCTGCAGGTATTCCAACACCCTTCATGTAAAACGAAAAAAAAAAAGAAGAGCCTAGCGTAGAGACAAGAGGAAACGGAATGCGCTTGCCTTGCGAGTACGTCTGTTCGGGGCTGACTGGTCTGGTGTTTTAGTGTGCCAAGAGGGCGCTGTATTATAGTATACATGACTACCAACCAAATTCAGCTAAATGGCCCATATCTGTACCCCTTGGTGTGTTATACGCATAAAACCGTGGAAACGGGCCTGCCTTAATAAACGCGACGGGTAATTTCGTATTTTCAGCTTTCAAGTTCAAAGGCCTTGAGCGGCGGCAGTATCAAAAAGGCCAATTCGCTTATTTTAAGGGGCGATTGTGATTACTACGGGAAAGAAGCAAGACGGCAGTAAACGCCGGGTGCACGAAGTTTGTTTTATTCCAGCGGCTGTAAAGGATAACGTGACTAAAGCCGTATCGTGATTCCCGCGCGTTCTAATAAAAATACATGGGGTGTGGTATCAAGGATGTAACCATATTAACGCTACATGTGGGCCGGCAAAAATACAAAAGCTGCGAATAGACGCACTCTTGCCAGTAGCTACTATTGCCGCTATAGGCCTACTATTACTAATACCAATAAATGAGACAATTTTTAACACAAACGGAATGTCTATTTTCAATGCTACCTGCGTGTTTGTCTATCAAGGGCCAAGGAAAAAACGGAAAGCGAGCCCGCGAGAGCTCCTTCCTCTTGCGGCATCCTAGTTGTCCAACCAGCAGCATAGGCAAAAGCAACAAACACAATCTAATCAAGCAACAAACGCAATCCAATCAAGCAACAAACACAATCCAATCAAGCAACAAACACAATCTAATCAAGCAAAAATAGGCTGGTCTGGGCTGGAGCCGCAGCCGCAGCCGCTTAGTCAAGAAACTTGAACTTGGTGCCCTGCTTCATGGCCTCCATGATGGTCTCCTTGGTTCCCACCGTGGGCTCTACCGAGCGGGCCTTTTGGCTCTTGACAATGGGGTTGAACACCTTGACGATTCGGGTAAAGGTCTGATAGCCGTTGGTTTCGAGGATGGGCGTCTTGATGTGCAATTCGTCCTGCTTGGCGGGGATGTAGAGGGCGCCGCCGGGGAGCGCCTTCTCCGTGCACCACTCGTCGATTCTCTGCTTGAACTGCTCGCAGCTTCGGGCCTTCTTGGGCATGGAGCACATCGGGATTTCCTTGCCGATGTCGTTGACAGAATCCCATAGCTGGAAAAATCCATCCACCCTCGGCTTGGCGTGGATATCCAGGTGGAACGACCACGTTTCGAGGCGGCACTCGTAGCCGGCTTCGCACTGCTCCTCGCGCGTGACGGTTTTGGTATTGGAATCCGTCTTCGTCTTGGTGTCGCTGTAGGATGCCGAGATCTCGACGCCGACTTCTCCCTGGGGTGCGGGTTTCTCGGCGCCGCCGCTAACTTTGCCGGAGAGCTTGACGCCGACTGTCCAGCCTTTGGTGTCCGTCTGGGTCGTGGTGGTGGAGCTGCTCATGGTCATTTTGCTCGACGTATCGCCGGGGCCCGGATTGACTGCCGTGGTCTCCACGTGGGCAATGTAGTATGCCTTTGCGTCTATGATGTCGTTGCGTTTGATGGTCCCGGTCTTGAAGAAGGTAACTTTCTCTCCGTAATTCAAGTTGCTAGGGCAGACGTGCTGCCACTCCTTGTTAACAGGGAACTTGGGCAAATTGGCGTCATCCATTTTGAAATTGCTCTCAATGCTTTTGAGAGTTTGGACGGCATAATCGTCGGCCGTGACGCCTTGACGAGCGGTAAGCGAGAGGGCGCTGGCGGCAGACGCCAATGCCATACTGAGAGCTGTGCACGTCTTCATTTTGAAAGAAAGAGAGTTGTTGGTGGTGATGTGGGAAATAGTAGGCAAAACGATGGTGTTGTAAGACTGGTGGTGATGTGGGAAATAGTAGGCAAAAGGATGGTGTTGTAAGACTGCTCTGTTGAGATGGGAGATGCAGTTCCATGTATTTTGGAGGGTTAACAAAGGCTTTATATACACTCATCATGCCACCGGTCGCTGATGGTACGTTTCCAAGACTAGGTTGACCTGGATGAAACCAGCTCCTTCGACCAACATCTCAACTATTATCACACGGAGCTACAGATCCTGACCCAGAAAACCTTGAAGGAACGTCTGGTACCGGGTGCCAAGCGCCGTGTACAGGCGTTACCTACCGTCAACACAGCCCCAAAGGGTCGCATAGCGAAATATTGGCTAGAATTATGCGTGAAACTTGGCTAGAATTATGCGAGAAACTTGGCTAGAATTATGCAAGAAACTTAGCTAAAATTATGCAAGAAACTTAGCTAGAATTATGCGAGAAACTTAGCTAGAATTATGCGAGAAACTTGGCTTATACTCTAGTATAATTTTCATCTCCCGGCAAGTCGTGCTATTTATACTACTAACCTTATTTGTTCGCGCTACTTTCTACTTTACCTAAATTTTATATTAGCTTTTAAGTTTATTATATCTTTTAAGATAATTTTATATATATTATTTTACTAATAAAAAGTAAACTAATTAATTAATATTTAATTATTTTATTTTATTAATATTAATATTCAATTGTTCCGCTATATAGTCAAATAAAATTACACGCATAATACAAGTATCGTGCAAGCGTAAAATCTAAAACAGTATCGGGCCGTACCAGGCCAATGACAATAGGAGAACCCTAGCCCGTATAGGTTAACAACCTAATATATCCCAACCGGCTCGCCGAGTCAAGCCAAATTTGGGTAACTATAATTATTTAAGCGCATAATTCTGGCCACGAAATAGTTGTTTTTCGCACTTTTAAAAATAACGTGATGTTGGTCCTTAATCACAACACTATCTTTGGCCCACTTGGTCCCAACTTACCGGCCAGTATTTGTCCAATTATTTACACAGAAGTTATCTTACAATAGGGCCGGCACTAAATTTGTCAACTACTCGACTATTTGCATAAAATATAGCCAACTATTCAGACCTAGACTAATCTGATACCGTTTCAACTATTATATAATATAATTCCACAACAAATATTATGCTTTATGCTAGATTCTAGCATGGTTAGCAAAATGACCGAGTCATAGGACTCGTACCAAAATACCGAGTGGAACTACTGCATAATTCAGTATTAAATAGCACAGACTATCGATAATAACTAAGCATAATAGGTTTAGCATTAATTGTATGAGATATTTCTTGGCATGTAAGCTTGAGGCTCTTGGCTATCTGCCTTTTATTGTCTAGTAAGTAATGCTTCGGCATGTGACTCCTCATGATATCAACTTCTCTCAACGCGAGAAAATATTAGCGGTATAACAAACCCTGGTAAAGCTAAAAGTAAGCCGTTGTGTCGGTACATGTACCCGTCCGGACATGGTCAGCTACAATCCCGATTAAAGCCGCATTCTCTATTTTCTGGAAGGTTCAAGTAAGTTACAAACTTGTCCCAGTCTATCCTAGTATATGCACGCCATGAATCGTTAGCATTGTCTCGTTCACCGAATGCTGAGCCGCACCGAACCTCTGCCGAAGAAGCGTTATTTGCATGATGGACACATGTGTCAGATTACGCGGCCATAATTCTTGTAAATTCGTGGTCGTGTTGTGAAATTCATGCAAAGCTCTTCTTTTTACTAGTAAAGCATGCTCCGTCCACGATAGCGGTTTCCTATCTTCAAACCACCCAATTTAGCATTTCTATCCAACACACATTTTTAAGTAAAACCTTACAAGATATTTATAATTACAATTGATCTGATATAATTGAACTTGATATGTCACTTGTATTATATAACAAGTATCCAAAAAAAAAAAATAAGGACAGAAATAATTACAATACTATCTTTATATATACCCGAGTAGTCGATACACTTCAGTACAGTTATGACAAAAGAAAACCAGACCTTTTAAATACGCACTCAAGTATTGAGGACAACTATAATACGATAGTAGAGAATTGTCATGGTCCCGTCCAAGCTAAGCCGTACGTGTTGTCAGCACATCAGCTAACAGTACCAGCTGAGCGAGTATCGGGTGACTTGTTCGATTCGGACAGTCAAGCATAGCCTCTGCGGCTGTACTAATACTCACGATAGGCGGTTGTGCTAGTTTGACAATAATTGTACATAGAAAGAACTTTCTTGATCTACACACATCCAAGGCACTGTGTGTGCCAAGCGGGCTGGTGGAATTTATCAGCAGGTGCGAGATAAAGTCATGTGCATAAACACGCACACGATATTGCTTGTGGTGACACATTGTTTACTCCACGATCAACCAATCTATCAAGTGCATAAGCACACCTACTCACATATTAGAAGACCAGATATTATTAATTATAAGAATTACGATACATGCTGTTTTTTAATCTGGTTCTTCTGATTTATCGAAACAATCCTTCAAGGCGGGCAACCTACCCTACATGAATGCGTAAGTTTACGGGTAAAGCCTTATCCGCCCCCACATTATCACAGGCCTGGAATCCCTCACCAAGGAAGAGGATTTAGCCACGGCACCAAATCTCGGCGGTAGTAGCCTCGGAGATTGATGCGTAGTTTTATTCCGTGAAACTCATCATGAAATGTTGAACTATTTGGTGCAACATACGCAATCGCTTGACCATTGACGTGTCAGGCTCATCCCACCGAATCATTGGGCCCCGACATGCAAAAACGGTCCAGATGTCATGAAGAACAATGGGGCGAAACTTGTCGCCGTCGTTGATCCGCCCCCCGCTGGGAGCGCCTTGGCCACCGAGTTGAGTCGAGTGTGAGCTATTACACAGGCGTCGACAACCTCCTCAACTCGGCCGAACAAGTCGATGCAGCCAATATGTACCCCAAACCACGCAAAGGTGCATCTTGCAACGAAGTTTGCTTCTCGCATCATTCACATGAAAATTAAGAAGCCGGTCAGCGCGGATGTACGCAGCGGGCAGGACCTCGTTCTCGGCCAAGAGCAAAGTCCTGGTCAGGCATCATCGTCGGGTTAACCCTTATATACTGAAAACGAAACAAGTCATATAAACGGGATCTGGGCATTGCACAAGCCGCTCGACTACTTTCAGGCGCCGGCAGAATGGAGACGGACTGAAGCCAGCGGCGCCATCCTCATCGACATGATTCACGAGATTGGCATCCTCCATTTTCTCCTGGGGGGCATAGTTTAAGTTTACGCAGATCGAATCCCTCGTCGGCGAGGCAATACCACAGACAAAGGGGCAGCCATGACACACAAGTTCAAGTCGGGAGCGGTGGGCACGTTTTTGCTTTCGGATTACGCCCCGTCGCCGTATAATTTCGAGTCCGGCTTTGGAGAAAACCCGCCCATTCCTAAAGCCGGCCAAGACTTTTACCGCATATTCGGGACGGAAGGATGTCCAAGTGTGCCGGACATGTCGCTGTGATCTTACGGGGACAAGCCAAAGTCTTGGCAGCCGGAAATAACAAGGCAAGAAATCCGTGTGGATGTTGCAGTCCGGTGCCATTCGAGCGGCAGTCGCAGCACTTGATCAATGCGGTTGGGGGGTTGGAAGACGTGCCAAGGACGGCAGAACTGAGCTCGCGGCGCTCATCGTCTGCGAGGCCATCAAGGAGGCACCGGACTCAATGGGGAAAAGACTGTCAACGCTGCAGAATACGATGTATAAAGGCACGCACAGCACTGTAGACGTAATCTGGTGGCATCGTGGCCAAGATTCGGGCGCACCAAGGGTGTTGAGCTGGTCGGACGGCGCTTTCTGCCTGCATGGGTTAGCCGAGGTGGATTGGGAAACGGAAATATTCACATGCAAATGTCCATGGGGAGGCTGTCATCAGTCCAGGGAGTTGGAGTTTGTCGCATGTCATGGCATAAACAATTTGCGCTGCAAATCAAGGTGCGTCGTTTGGTCAGCACAGACTCAGCCGAGGTTTGGCTGGGGAGAAAGAGGTCTGGTCTGGTGCCATCAAATGGGATTTGACCAGACTTGACTCCAGTCGCCTGTCGCTTAAATCTCGGAAGCGCCACAACACAACGCCCGGAGCGAGCCAATCTTCGACTTCGTTTTTGCATCGTCCAAAGATTGATGCGTCCACGACGGCGCTGGAAAGCGAACAGAGCAAGGCGCGGCTCAGATACGGCCATGGTCCCCCGTCGTCCGAACCAAGCTGGGGCAGCAACACATGTCTGAAGCACCAGCAACTCCGATGCATCCGATTCGCGGCAGGGCCCTGCATTGGGCCGTGACGGGTAGGTCCTCGACCGCGCGTCTTGCAACTCACTCGGGGCTGATATTCGCGTCTAGCTGCCAGCTGCCAAGCATTTCTGCTCCTGGGATACGACCAGGGGGTAATGAGTGGTCTCATCGGCGCCGACAACCAGTTTGGCAAACAGTTCAACCACCCCGACGCAGGCCTACAAGGAACCCGTACGTACTGGGCGCAGCTTCCTCGCAAACAGACAACCAGCTAACCCGTGCCAGTGACGTCCATCTACGACATAGGATGCGCCGTCGGCTGTCTCTTCGCCTTCTTCTGCGGCCACCGCATCGGCCGCAGGAGAATGATCATGGCGGGCGGCACCATCATGATTGTAGGCACCGTGATACTCGGCTCCTCATACAGCGTCGCGCAGTTCATCGTCGGACGAATCGTGACGGGCGTTGGAAACGGCATCAACAGCAGCACCGTGCCGGCGTACCAGAGCGAAATGGCGCTGTCCAAACATCGCGGCCGACTGCTCTCGGCCCAGGGGACCGTCACCATTGTCGGGCTGTGCATAGCGTACTGGATGGACTATGGCCTTAGCTTTGTGCAGAGCCCGATCCAGTGGAGGCTGCCCATCAGCTTCCAATCCTTCTTCGCCATCTGCCTCGTGCTGCAAATGATTCCCCTGCCAGAGACGCCTCGGTGGCTCTGCGAGCAGGACCGCCGCGAGGACGCTGTCAAGGTTCTGACGCGCCTCCAACCCGATGCGGGCGCTCCGGGAGCGGCGCAAAGCCTGCGCCAATCGCTCTTGGAAATCGAAACAGCAATCGCAATCGAGTCGGCCGGAGGCCCATTCCACTACCGCGAACTGTTCACCCGAGGCAAGATACAGAACCTGCGCCGCATGATTCTTTGCGGCCTGGTCAACGTGCAGCAGCAGTTTACGGGAGCAAACATGATTAATTACTACGCGCCTGTAGTCTACCAAAACGTCATGCACCTATCCAGGAACACGTCTCTGATTCTGGGTGGATGCACGGCAATTGTATATCTGATCGGCTCGTTCATTCCACTATGGAGCATGGACCGCATCGGCAGGCGCCTCTCGCTCATGGTCTCGGCCGCCGGGCTCTCGTTTTGTTTCGTCATGGTCTCCATCCTGCTGTCCATCGGCACGCAGCGCTGCGCATACGCAGCCACGTCCTTTGTTTTCATCTTTCAACTCTTCCTGGGCATCGGCTATCTGCCCGTCCCTTGGTGTGCCAACCTGCCTGCTCTTCTGCCGATCCTAGGAAGCTAACCGTGCCCAGGTTCTACCCGAGCGAGGTGACGACGACGCGAATCCGTGCGCGCGGCCAGGCCTTTGCCGGCTTCGTCAATTGGATGTGCGTTTGTAAGTAGTCCCCGTAGCCTTTCTCACTCGAAGCACTGCCATGTTGACTTTTGCGTAGTCATTGTAGTCCAGATCACACCTATTGCTATTGATAATATTGACTGGCGGACATTCATCATCTTTGCATGCTTATGTGCATCCTGGGTGCGTATTGTCTAATTTAAACACTTTGAACGCTAGTTGACCATTGCCGCTAGATACCCATGGTGTACTTCTTTTTCCCCGAAACCAGCGGCCTCGAATTGGAAGACGTCGACCACCTGTTTGAGAATGGCGGCATCACCGGCGGCGTTTTTGAGTCCAGGGGGAGGCCAGTACGGCCAGGTTGTCACCGACAACAGGCATTGAATATTCCATTGAAGCATCCCGTGTAACAGCAATTGGAGGCGCATGCCGGGAAACATGACGAAGCATTAAAAACAGCGTCAGGTCATGTATGTAGTGTGCTCACGTCCATGAAGCATGTGTATACATTGAGTCAGACGTCGATTACAAGTGCCGCGTGTGCGGCTACATGGCCCCATCATCCTCCTACTTCCAGAAGTGAGTAGATGCACTTGGCGGAATGTCATTTTCCCCCGACCCCCAATGACTCTGTGACGGCCCCAGGGTCAGCTCCAGCACGCCGCCGGTGCTGAAAAAGTCATGAGTGATCCACGACTTGGTATACGGCCTGCCATTCAGCCTTGCGCTCTGTATATATATATTGTTGTGCCCTTGATCAAAGTTAATGTTCCTGATGGTTGCCGACTTGCCCGTCCCGGGGTGGTGAATGGTGACTTGTGGGAAGAAGGGAGGGATAATGAGGTACACGTCCTGGCCGCTCATCGGGTAGAGACCCATCATGGACAATGCGGTGAAGCTGCCCATGGCGCCCGAGTCGTCGTTCCCGGGGATGCCGGCCAAGGAATCATTAAAGGCACTGGGTATATACCTGCGTGCGTATTGCGAGGACAGGCCCGGCTTCCCGACATAGTGAAACAGGTACAGGAGGAGATAGGACTGTTCGTCCCCAATGTAGAACAGGCCCGGGGTGTTGTGCAAAAACTCCAGCCGGCGGACAAACTCGCCCGTGCCGCCGAGCATCGTGATGAGGGTCGCCTGATCGTGGGGAACTTGGAACGTGTAAAGCCACGACCCGCCCTCGTACGTCTCGTGTCCGCCTGGGTTCAGATAACAAGAGGTGAAGTTGAAGAGGGCCGTGCAAATGGCCGGGTCCTGATGGCCAAAGCTGCCGTTTAGATACCTGGGCTGCAGGAATCCCTGGAACCCGCTGTCCACGAGGCCAGCCGGATCCTGGCTTCCCGTCGTGTTGAGTCTCGAGCGAGAGGTAGGGTCAAACATGTTCCTCCAATTGGACGAACGCTCCAGATACTTCTCCGCATCAGCCGTCTTGTTCATGTCTCTGGCCATTTCCGCGATGCAGAAATCATTGTACGAATACTCGACGGTCCGGGAAATGGACCGCGTAAAAATGCCGACGCCGTACGGATCAAAGTCGTCGGTAGGAATGTAGCCCAGCGTTTTCCAACTGTGCAGTCCGCCCCTTCCTTCCACTGTCCAAATGGGAGGCTCATCTGTAGAAGCGCGTGAGCAACGACGTCCAGTGCGGCAAATGATGGACATTCTTCCAATACGCACTCACCTTCGGCGTCTGACACGACGGCCTCGTAGCCAGTTTCCCAATCGATGCCGTCCCCGAGCCCCTTGAGATACGAATCGGCCAGGACGTTGTCGGCGTTGCTTCCGCCCTGGGTGAAGCCCTTGCAAAGCGACATGCGGCAGTCGGGAAGCTTGCCCTCGTGGCGGTACACGTCAATCAGCGCGCGAACCATGCGCGCCTGCGCACGCGGATCGACCAACGTGAGCAACGGGTGCGTGCTCCTGAAGCTGTCCCAGATGCAATAATACGAGTCAAAGTAGGGCTCGTCGCTCGCCCACAGCGGGTTCTCTCCTGCAATGCCCGGCACCGGTTAGCAGGCGGCAGACTCGCACCGGCGCAGGGGGAGACTTGCCGGTGTAGTCCTGGGGAGACAGCATCGCGCGATAGATGCCGCTCCAAAAGGTTCTCTGTAGCGATTTCGAAACCCCGGTGCTGTTTACCCTGACGGTATCCAATTTGCTCCGCCATGCCGTTTCCGCCGCCCGCCTCACGCGGGTGAAGTCGAAATCGGGAATTTCGGCCTCGGCATTGTCGCATGCTCGCTGTGTGCTGATGAAGGACAGGCCGACTCTGGCCTGAACCTGGTTCGACTTCGGCGCATGGAACTGGACCCAAGCGCCGCCCGGGACTGTATTCCCGTCCGTCGGGAGCTGAAGCGACTTCGGCTCCGCCCCGGCACGGTTGTTCATAAAGACGCCCGTATCACGGATCCGGGCACCGGCAAAGTCGGCGCAAAAGTACGCGTTATACGTGCCGATGCCAAAGGAGGGATTGAACGTTCCAAACCCCGTGATTCTTCCCGACTGCGCATCTACCGAGATACTTCCGTTGCTTCTCGAGTCTGCGAGGTCCGTCACGTCCGCCAGGATCAGGGGGCTATATGGCATCTTGGGCGTCGCATTTCCGCTGCTCTTGGTGGGCGTGCCGTCGGTCGGAAATGTGAATCTGTACAAGGCCGCGTGGCTGGTGACGGTCATCTCGGCATGCACCGACGTGTTCATCGTGACGGCAAAGTAGCCCGGTCTCGCCTTGACGGTGCCATTCACCCTCTGCGAAGCCCGTGCCGCCTTGGGGAAGTAGCAGTTGTTCAGGACGTCCCCGTCGCACCCGGTCTGAGGAAACAGGGGGAAATTGCCTAGAGAGGCGCCCTACACGGAATCAGTGAATGGGTGCCTTCTCACCGACGGCGCGGTGCAACCTACTCCGCCTGTTCCGCTGTCATGCATGTGCGAGAAGCCGGTGACTACGAGTGGCCTTTGTCAGTACAGCAGGCAACAGTGCCGCAATGCTTGACGTCTTCTTGCTTACTCTCGCCGTCGTTGGACGTGAATCCGCCCTGGAGTTCCTTGTTCACGTCCGCAACTGCCTTTGCCATTCCGTAGGGCAGGCTGGCGCCGGGAAAGACGTGGCCTGGGACTTGGTCAGCCGGGACCGAGCGTGGAATCGCGTCGCGCGGATCGTACCTCCGTTGGCAGTACCGATGAGAGGGTCGACAAGGTCCAAAACATCGAAGCGTGTATGATTCGGTGTTGTGCTGGCGAGGGTAACCAGGACGGCGTGGAAAACCGACAGTAAAAAGTAGAGCAAAGCCATGGCGAGACTGTGAGATACGCGAGGCAAGATGGGAACGACGGATGGGAAATCGCCTTTACAGTCCCAGTGGTATCAATATTTCTCGAGGCCGCACCAGCGCTGACCGGCTCGCAATGTTGCAAGTGGTCTCACTCGCGACTGCCTCTGTTTATATTCATCTGGGAATCGGCGTCTCCAGACGCAACTGTGGGGTATTGTTGCATTCCACGCTGGCTGTTTTGCTGCAAGGCCAGGGCTCGTGTAAATGTCTGGTTTGCATGGCCGTGCCGATCCCTCGATTTTGCCAAATATCGTCGTTGCATTGCGCACCATACCCCTCACGAGTCCGCCTTGAGCATCCCGTCTCGTCCAACATGCGGGGTGACACGGCATGGTTGTGAAATTGGCTGTTGAGACATTTGTTGTCTTTGTGAAAAACATGCCGCATACTCATGGTGATGTCGTAGATTTTTGCTGGCCGTGATTTGTCGGGGTCTGCGGGTGCGACCTTGTGCATCTTGGTGGATGATTGAGTTTCGGGTCGCGGCATCACCGCCGGCTGCATCAACGTGTAGGACGTATTGCTTGCGGCCGGTCCGCGTGTGTCGGCCAGGAATTTATGGAGAGGAAAGTCGTCATGATGTGTTGATGCACCTTCATCAATGAATAACGTCTGGTTGTACAAGTGGCGTGCCGTGACGCTGTTTTATCGGGTCCGCCGTGGTGCATGAGATGATGCATCATTGGATACATTGGATACAGACTTAGCGTTTGGGTCCAATACTGGATGGCTAATGTACCGGCAATGATTTTAGCCGCAGGCTAACCAGCGACTGCAGCGCGTAGCTAGGATGGACGAGTAAACATGTCAGCATCCACGCGGCTTGTTTGGTGATATTGATGACGGGAAAGAAGAATACCTACTTCCAGCCCAAGGCGAAGCCCCTTGATGGCCCGAGACGGGCACTCCATCTTGCAACCCCCAAAGGCTGACAGGCAACAAGGCGACGTTTGGGTGTCTCATGCACAAGAGCTGCATAGAATATAGTTGATTTTGTTATTTCATCTTGTTCTTTTAGATCAGTTTGGTAGAACAGCAATGTGCTGATATAAAGGGTCTTTGGACGCTTGCCGTCGATACGCAAAGGTTCCTTGTACTGGCTACATGAAGCACATCTCAATACGTGCAGTACTATTCTTGCCGTTCAATGTTCCCAAGCCCTGGCTCCAGCATCTCGGCCGTTACCGGAACTCATCAGACTAACAACACTTAGCTGCGGTTTTATGAATAGGAGGTCAATGGAATACTTTCACCAAACCTGGTTGCAGCCGCGGCCGCACCAACTTGCTCGGTAAGTTAGATAGAGGCCTCTTAGATATATACTGCCAATTCCTGGCCAAAAAAACATTAGCGGCGTGAATAGTTCTACATCAAACGTAGATTTATGGCTACGAGATATATAACCTTTTAAATGCCGAAAAATCTTCCTTTCGTCCGAATCGAACCTTTGGCCAAGTGTAGCTACAGTCCCCGACGCTACAAGCACCGGGAATAACGCTAAGGCCTGCAGCTTTAATCTACAGAGTTATTATCCGGCAAAAGTATCATAACTTGAAATTCGCCCACTAATCTGTTATGTAGTGGGCAATAAAGATTGACGCATGTTTCCGTTGTCGTATCTCCCAAGTGAAAATAGCCATGTGGTTGATAAAGGCAGTTGCGGTTGCGTCTTCTGCTAGATTACACTTCCCAATACGGTTCACGTTAAAGAAAGTATAGAGAGTCGGTGAGAGGGTGAGCCTTGTACTGTGCCTGTAGAGAGTCTGGTGTGTAGCACGGTTTTGAACCCGTCGATCGAGACCCGAGTGTGTCGGTCGTCTAGAAGGCTCAATACCTATCGACCTATCTTCTTACCAATTTCCCTTTTTCGCAGATTGTACAGGAGCTGCTTGACAGTACGTTGTTCAAGGCGCCCGAGACGTCAACTCAGAGAAGACTTGCCACCCGCCGCGACGTGGCAAAATTAAGGACGCAATGCAAAGAGATGCGTGCAACTTAGGTGACGTTACGGAATGGGGCTTCATCCTTTTTTTTCTCCGCTATTCCTGCCAGATACTACCAAACCTTTGTTTCTCAGTTACCGCACCACCCCAAGTCGGTGTTTACCGCTGGTCCAGATTAATTTTCATAACTTACCTGAAAACACAACTACAATCTCGTCAAAGGTCGCAAATAATACATGGTCCATGACGAGCTAAATGAAACAACACGCTAGTAATTTATTAGCCCGGTAGGACCCTGTGGATTATAAGTTAGAATATATGTTATAATATATTATATATACCTGGCCCTCGTTTTATTCCCGTTAACTTACAAGCTTTCTTGGAATTATGCTATCTATAAATCCTGGAGGTTTTATGCCATCCCTATAACTTAGCATATAAAACTATTTACACTATAAGCTGTACTAATATTTTATATAAATACGTAGCTTGGCTAGAGTCCCCTTACCAAGGGGTTATTAAAACAGTCATTATCACGTGTATAGAGCCCAGTTCGTGTTTGTTTAATTACATGGTGCCTAATTATCCATCTAATTCCATCTCAAATACACCCAGCCCTAGGCCAAGGGTGGCTCTTGTCTCCTGCATGACAACCGCATGACAACCGCATGACTAGGACTTCGGCTCGATGGGACACGACTTCATATAAGTAGCACGTCGTGAATAAATTGGCCGTGCCTACACGGAACTCACTACGCTTAAGAATGTATTGCCACCGCATCTTGTTCCGGTTTGGTAGCAGCCAGGTTTCCTGGGACTCAGCTTCCGACTCCTGCTGGGTTCATGCGGATTTATAAAGTACTGGAAAGGAAATGGTATGCGGACAGCTTAATATTGGACCTTCCTGTGAGACCCAGCCGGACCGTTTTGTGTGGCCAGTAATCTGCCTCGGCGCCTTTCCTCTGGCTTGTTACGACCCAGTCGTATGCAGGAAGCAGGCTGTAGGTTGGGCTGGCTATATGAGCCACGGGGCGGCATAGGCAGGGCAAATAATAGATTAATAGTTAAAGTAACTATTATATCTAAATCATAAAAGGAACTATGATTTATATAAGTAAGATTATAGTTATAATAATAATTTAAAAGGAAATATTATAATAAGAGAAGTAATTTATTATAATATATAAGGACCCTTAATATTACTTTATAAATAAACTTTAGCTTCTTAGCTTTTAATAATAATTATTATATTAACTTAAGCTTTACTTATAACTCTTTAACTTTAATTACTTAATTATAGTTTATAACCTATTATTAATATAATACTTAATTACTTAAATTAATTACCTTAGTAGCTTTATTAATATAAACTATAACTAGTTTATTTCTTAGGAATTTTAATTATTATATATTAAAAGCTCTTATTTAAACTACTATTATATTACTTTAAGTAATACCTAATAACTATTAATATAGCACTATATAAGACTATTATTATATTTAAATTAAATAAAACCTAAGAAGGATTAATTATTATTTTTACTTATAATATACTTATTAAGATTATACGCCTTTAAGAATAAGTCTAATAAATAAAAGAAAAATAATAAAAATAAGTTATAATTATAATTATAATTAAAAAGAACTTAAAAGAAATTCTTAAACCTAAAGTATTAAAATTATATAATAAATTTTTAAGTATACTTTAAGGATTCCTTACTTAACTTAAGGCTTATTATTAATAATTCTTAATTAAAATAAAAGAATTTTTTATTAAGGTATTATATATAAAAGAATATATAATAAGAGTAATACTTATATAATTTAAACTTATTATAAGGGATTACTTTAATAAAAAAAAATAATTATAAAAAAGAAACTAATATTATTTTTAAAAGTTATAATAAGTTTAAAAAAACTATTAAAAAGGCCTTTAAAATAATTAATAAAGCTAAAGCTATTAAGTATTATATTAATAGGCTTAAGTAAAAAGAATTAGTATCTAATTATATTACTTACTTTAAATAACTTATATCTTAGCTTAATTAAAAGAATAAACCTTTTATATTAGCTTTTTATAAAGAACTTAAAGAAGAAATTAAAAATAAACTTTATAAAAAGAATAAACTAAATAACTTATTAGATTATATTATTATAATAATATAAATTAATAATAAATAATATTAATAATATATATAAAAGAAATAAGGTAAA